GAGCGCATACAACCTGGTGCGTATCTGGGAGGGAGATGAGTGGAAGACGGCATTTAGTACCACATCTGGGCACTATGAGTACCTCGTCATGCCGTACGGATTGTTGAATGCTCCATCAGTCTTCCAATCCTTTGTTGATGAGATTTTCAGGGACCTGCACGGACAGGGTGTAGTGGTGTATATAGATGACATTCTCATATACTCCGCTACACGAGTCGAGCATGTGTCCCTGGTGCGCAAGGTGCTTGGTCGACTGTTGGAACATGACCTGTATGTCAAGACGGAGAAATGTCTGTTCTTTCAAAAGTCTGTCTCCTTCCTAGGGCACCACCTGTCCGCGTCAGGGGTGGAGATGGAGATTGACCGCATTTTGGCCGTGTGTAATTGGCCGACTCCAACCACGGTTAAGGAGGTGCAGCAATTCTTAGGGTTTGCCAACTACTACCGGAGGTTTATCCGGGGCTTTGGTCAGGTAGCGGCTCCCATTACCTCCTTGCTGAAGGGGGGACCGGTGCGAATGCAGTGGTCAGCTGAGGCGGACAGGGCTTTTGGTCACCTGAAGGACCTGTTTACCTCGGCTCCAGTGCTGGCTCATCCGGATCCCTCCTTGGCATTCACAGTAGAGGTGGACGCGTCCGAGGCTGGGATAGGAGCTGTACTGTCTCAGCGCTCGGGTACGCCACCAAAGCTCCGCCCCTGTGCTTTCTTTTCGAAGAAGCTCAGCCCGGCGGAGCGCAACTATGATGTGGGGGACCGGGAGCTGTTAGCTGTGGTTAAGGCTCTGAAAGCGTGGAGGCATTGGCTTGAGGGGGCTAAACACCCTTTCCTCATTTTGACTGACCACCGCAATCTCGAGTACATCCGGGCGGCGAGGAGACTGAACCCTCGCCAGGCAAGGTGGGCCATGTTTTTCACCCGTTTTGTGTTCACCCTTTCTTACAGACCAGGTTCCCATAACGCTAAGGCAGACGCTCTGTCCCGACTGTATGACACAGAGGAGAGGTCGATGGAGCCCACTCCCATATTTCCGGCTTCGTGTCTGGTGGCACCGGTGGTGTGGGAGGTTGATGCGGACATCGAGTGGGCATTACATACAGAGCCCACTCCCCCCCAGTGTCCAGAGGGTCGTATGTACGCAATCGATTGATCTATTGGGCTCACACGTCACCCTCCTCTGGTCATCCTGGCATCGGTCAGACAGTGCGCTGTCTTAGTGGGAAGTACTGGTGGCCCACTTTAGCTAAGGACGTGAGGGTTTATGTTTCCTCCTGCTCGGTGTGCGCCCAGTGTAAGGCACCTAGACACCTGCCCAGAGGGAAATTAAAACCCCTACCCATTCCACAACAGCCGTGGTCCCACCTATCGGTGGATTTCGTTACAGACCTTCTCCCGTCACAAGGGAACACCACGATCCTGGTCGTTGTGGATCGGTTTTCTAAGTCCTGCCGTCTCATTCCTCTGCCCGGTCTCCCTACAGCCCTACAGACTGCGGAGGCCCTATTTACACACGTCTTCCGGCACTACGGGGTACCTGAGGATATAGTGTCTGATCGGGGTTCCCAGTTCACCTCAAGGGTCTGGAGGGCGTTCATGGAACGTCTTTGGGTCTCGGTCAGCCTGACCTCAGGGTTTCACCCCGAGAGTAATGGGCAGGTGGAAAGAGTAAACCAGGATGTGGGTAGGTTTCTGCAGTCCTATTGCCAGGACCGGCCGGGGGAGTGGTCGGTTTTCATCCCCTGGGCAGAGATGGCCCAAAACTCCCTCCGCCACTCCTCCACTAACCTTTCTCCATTTCAGTGTGTATTAGTTTATCAGCCGGTCCTGGCACCATGGCATCAGAGCCAGATCGAGGACACCTGCGGTGGAGACCTGGAACGCTGCCCATGTACGCCTGCAACGGGCCATCAGGCGACAAAAGGCGAGCTCTGACCGCCACCACAGTGAGGCCCCGGTGTATGCACCCATTGGGACCGGGTCTGGCTCTCGACCCGAAACCTGCCCCTTCGCCTGCCCTGCCGGAAGCTGGGTCGGCGGTTTGTGGGGCCATTTAAAGTCCTGAGGAGATTGAACAAGGTTTGTTATAGGTTACAGCTTCCTCCTGAGTATCGTATTAACCCCTCATTCCATGTGCCTCTCCTTAGGCCGGTGGTAGCTGGTCCACTCCAGGAGTCGGAGGTACGGGAGGTTCCTCCGCCCCCACTGGACATCGAGGGTGCACCGGCGTACTCGGTCCGTTCCATCCTGGATTCGAGGCGTCGGGTGGGGGGCCTGCAGTATCTCGTGGAGTGGGAGGGGTACAGTCCGGAGGAACGGTGCTGGGTCCCTAGGAGGGACATCCTCGATCCCTCCATGTTGAGGGATTTCCACAGTCGTCATCCGACTCGCCCTGCGCCGCATCCTCCTGGCCGTCCCCGAGGCCGGTGTCGGCGCACGGCTGGAGCCGCGCGTCAAGGGGGTGTACTGTCACGGATTCAGCCAAGGCTGCTCATCCTCCTTGCTCGTGCAGGCTTCGGCGTTCGTCGTCCCCGGAGTACTAGCTGCTACTGATCTATGTTTCTGTGTTCTACTTGTTTTGTCTTCATTGTACACACCTGGTTCCCATTATGTCTATGATTTGTTCCCTATTTTACCCTCTGGCTCCCACTGTGTTGTGTGCGTGTTTGTTCATTGTTTGGTGTTATCGACTGGTGAGCGGGATTGTCCTCCGTGTGGAGTTTATGTTCACTTGTTATTTACGAGTAAAGTACGTTGTCTACTAGCTCTGTGTCCTGCGCCTGACTCCGTCCTACCGCTACACACTGACGCCTGACAATAACTTCTCTTGATATCTTATTCAGTGAGATGTTACAGTACACAGCACTCCAGGGAATATTTCAAGAACCGTGTCTTAAAATAGTTTAAATAAAACTACTGATTTACATATAAACACTAGAAATGGCATCAGAATGTGTCTGGTCGTGTCCGAAATCTGTCTTGCCTACTACTTACTAAAACTACATACAGTGAGGGAAAAAAGTATTTGATCCCCTGCTGATTTTGTACGTTTTCCCACTGACAAAGACATGATCAGTCTATAATTTTAATGGTAGGTTTATTTGAACAGTGAGAGACAGAATAACAACAAAAAAATCCAGAAAAACGCATGTCAAAAATGTTATGAATTGATTTGCATTTTAATGAGGGAAATAAGTATTTGACCCCTCTGCAAAACATGACTTAGTACTTGGTGGCAAAACCCTTGTTGGCAATCACAGAGGTCAGACGTTTCTTGTAGTTGGCCACCAGGTTTGCACACATCTCAGGAGGGATTTTGTTCCACTCCTCTTTGCAGATCTTCTCCAAGTCATTAAGGTTTCGAGGCTGACGTTTGGCAACTCGAATCTTCAGCTCCCTCCACAGATTTTCTATGGGATTAAGGTCTGGAGACTGGCTAGGCCACTCCAGGACCTTAATGTGCTTCTTCTTGAGCCACTCCTTTGTTGCCTTGGCCGTGTGTTTTGGGTCATTGTCATGCTGGAATACCCATCCACGACCCATTTTCAATGCCCTGGCTGAGGGAAGGAGGTTCTCACCCAAGATTTGACGGTACATCGTCCCGATGAAGTTCTCTTGTCCCCTTAGCAGAAAAACACCCCCAAAGCATAATGTTTCCACCTCCATGTTTGACGGTGGGGATGGTGTTCTTGGGGTCATAGGCAGCATTCCTCCTCCTCCAAACACGGCGAGTTGAGTTGATGCCAAAGAGCTCCATTTTGGTCTCATCTGACCACAACACTTTCACCCAGTTCTCCTCTGAATCATTCAGATGTTCATTGGCAAACTTCAGACGGCCCTGTATATGTGCTTTCTTGAGCAGGGGGACCTTGCGGGCGCTGCAGGATTTGAGTCCTTCACGGCGTAGTGTGTTACCAATTGTTTTCTTGGTGACTATGGTCCCAGCTGCCTTGAGATCATTGACAAGATCCTCCCGTGTAGTTCTGGGCTGATTCCTCACCGTTCTCATGATCATTGCAGCTCCACGAGGTGAGATCTTGCATGGAGCCCCAGGCCGAGGGAGATTGACAGTTCTTTTTTGTTTCTTCCATTTGCGAATAATCACACCAACTGTTGTCACCTTCTCACCAAGCTGCTTGGCGATGGTCTTGTAGCCCATTCCAGCCTTGTGTAGGTCTACAATCTTGTCCCTGACATCCTTGGAGAGCTCTTTGGTCTTGGCCATGGTGGAGAGTTTGGAATCTGATTGATTGATTGCTTCTGTGGACAGGTGTCTTTTATACAGGTAACAAGATGAGATTAGGAGCACTCCCTTTAAGAGTGTGCACCTAATCTCAGCTTGTTACCTGTATAAAAGACACCTGGGAGCCAGAAATCTTTCTGATTGAGAGGGTCAAAATAGTTATTTCCCTCATTAAAATGCAAATCAATTTATAACATTTTTGACATGCGTTTTTCTGGATTTTTTTGTTGCTATTCTGTCTCTCACTGTTCAAATAAACCTACCATTAAAATTACAGACTGATCATTTCTTCGTCAGTGGGCAAACGTACAAAATCAGCAGGGGATCAAATACATTTTTCCCTCACTGTACTGTGTACTATTCATACTACATACTATTTAGAACATACTGTTTAGTAAAAACAAATGCAGTAAGCAACAAATATCAACATACAAGGCTCATCCCGAGAATACGTCTTTTAATTTCCACCATTTGTTAATTTGGTATAGTGCGTCATCTTATCTCATTATCAGCTGTTGAGTCTGGAAAGACGATTCTCTTCCTCAAAAGTGTGCAGCAAATTCTACTAAATGAAAAGCCAAAATGAGTATAACCTGGCATTTAAAGCATACTTGATTATCGGAATAAATATAATTTAAACCATTTTATTTTCGCATACCTTAAATGCCTACTAATTAGAATGCAAGAATGTTTATTCGGACACGGCCTATGTGTTGTTTTATTGAGCAAATTGAGAGAATCCTACCTCATAACCAAGCACTCTTTCAGGGGTGGCGGGGAGGGCTTCCCAGATCACTTCAATTTGAGCTGCAGACACACTCCTGCCCCAAACCCTCTTAGGAGCCTCACTTGGGACTGTAGAGATAGAGAGCAGGTGAGAACCTCTCACGCAACACCATCAAACACACTAATAGGAAGCAGAAGCAGGCAGAGAATAGACCTGTAGTTTCACTGGAGAGAGCTATATTGCTTGGGCTTGGTTTTTAATGGGATCTGTGACTGACATAAGGGAAGACTATCTTCACGGCAAATTCAATTAACACAGTCCCTCACTGACAGCCCAGTGTAGTAAGTGTCAGCTAGGATTTCCTGTAATCTACCTCTGCAATAACAATAACTAATATCAAGTTGAAACTCCCAGCTTGAGAGGGGGAAAAGTGTCTGAACCAACTTATTTCATGATTACTATTCAAGGTCGTGCCTCCAGAATAAAAAAGATTGAGATTCTTCTTTGCCTTGATGACAGCTTTAGCTACCTGCAGATTCATACTACAGCTATGACAATGTTTGTATTGCTAGTAGTATAAATTGGGATTATGCAGGTTCATTGTTTAGCTAGCTAGCTATCTAGCTACATGTCTAAATAAAAGACTCCACTACACCTGATGATTACATGACTAATCAAGTTAGCCAGGTGTATCTGGGGTTGATCTATTGTATTTCATGAACATTTGTACATGTCTAGACAATAGCAACCCATCCACTTAGCTAGATGTGGCTGGGGGGTGGTTATAGCATTTATTTCACATGACCCATCAATTTATACAAGTGTATCTGGGTAAGCGTCATTTAATAATTATACTTTCTGTTTTTGATATTGCTACTATGCAAGTAACCATTTCACTGTACTGTTTACACCTTCTGTATCCTGTGCATGTGACAAATACATTTTATTTGATATAGTGTGTGTTTACCATAGAAGGAAACTAATATCAAGTTGAAACTCCCAGCTTGAGAGGGGGAAAAGTGTCTGAACCAACTTATTTCATGATTACTATTCAAGGTCGTGCCACCAGAATAAAAAAGATGAAGGGCTGTTTGAGCGTGATTCCCCTGGCTGCCATCGCCTTTACCTTCCTCTGCGGAGAACACTGTGGCTATGGAACTGAAGGGCCCCTCCCCGCGGTTGTTGTATGCCCCAACCTTCACATCGAACGGCGAGAAGGCCGGGATGGTGTCGTTGCGGAAGACATATCGGGCCACCCCAGGCGTGGAGATGACCGCTCGCGTCCAAGTGACAGCACCCAGCGGCCGGAAGGCGATGATGTAACCAAAGCCCTCTCCATTCTGCAGTTCCTCAGGCACGGGCTGGGAGCGAAACACAAAACTATAGTGATATTAAAACGCATACAGACAAAGACACTGACACCCCTGCCTTTGTCCTCAAGCACCCGCCAAAGACGGCTTCAACATGAGCTGCAATGATTAGATGCAGTGTTTTCCCCCCTACACCACAACCCACAGATCCTTTTCTCCCTGCATTGGTACATCATTGTGGATGAAGTGGGCTTCAAAGAAACAATCTCTTTCCCTGAGTTGAATCACGTTGGGAGGGAGAAATGGCACTCCGAGGCCAGACCCCAGAAGGGAGGGGCTGGCTCTAGTGTAGATCATAAAATTGCTCCATTCAATTCTGCACAATTAAGCAAAACCATTACCAGGCTATGGAGAGAACAGTAAAACCTGACGGATGACTTACCTCCCAAGTTATCACTAATTCAGATTTTGTGCCGCCTCCGCCTCCAACATCAGTGGGAGCTGCATCAGGCACTGTAAGACAAAGCCCAAAGGAGAACAATTATAAGGAGGTTGTTAAATAAAGGTTTTAAAAAATACAATAAAAAAAAAATAAGGCAGTTAACATAGCTGAACTACAGGTTTATAAGTCTAGCCTCATGACACAGTTTTAAAATGCATTCACAATATTGTTTTTTATTTTACACTCCACAACTTATTTGTTATTTTTATTTCATATTCTTTTATATTGTATTTGTTTGTGATTTCTTTTGGTATTCTTTCTTAAAACGACATTGTTGCTTAAGGGCTTGTAAGTAAGCATTTTACTGTAAGGTCTACACCTGTTGTATACGGCGCATGTGACAAATAAAATGTGATTTGATTCTCCCTTGATACTAGCGACCCGACATGTTTTGGAGTATATCGTCCTACTCAAATACCAAGTGTCACAATGAATAAACAACTTATTTTTTTATTTAGCTGTTAAGTTTAATAGTCAGAAAACACAATTTTACTTGACAACTGTTTTGTGCATAGCACTGCACAAAAGATTTGCGGACCACTCATGTGCATCCTGATGTGTATTTACCCAAAGTAAATGGTCCATCACATTTAATCTGTCACATCAGCAACTGGTTCAAGCAGCATTTAATGTTAGATGTCAGGGGTCTGTGTATTTCACTTTGTGTGTGTGTTTGTGTGTGTGTCTGCATATGTATTCTAGAGAGAGTAGAGGAGTGAAACTCACTGGCATCCTCTGTCCTGGTCTTGGCTGAGGCTGGACTAGGCTCTCCCATGCCCACACTGTTGCGGGCCACCACCCGGAACTCATACTCCACCCAGGCATTCAGACCCACTACAGTGGCTGTCAACGTGTTGCCATTGATCTCCTCAGGAACTGGAAGTGGAAAGGAGAGCGTTCAACATTACCATATACATAAGCATGGCTAAGGTGTGCTCTGTTCGTACTGTATGCTAGGTGTATTAGCTACCTGTGTCCACAGCTTGCCAGCCCACAGTGAAGGGTGTCCTGACCTGGATGATGTAGCCGGTGATAGGGCTGCCGTTGTCCCTACCAGGTTTCCAGGAGAGCTGGGCCGTGCTATCTGTGATCTCCTCCACCACTACAGTGTCCGGGGGCCCGGGGGGACCTGACTCAATCAGACAATTAGCAAAGTGAGCCTCCACAACACCCTCACACCACCACCCCCCCATTCCCAACTCATTATGCTCTTGCCTTTACTGCTGTCCCATTACATATCAAGGCCATCACACTTCATCTAATTAAGGGCTGTGTCCTTGGTCCGGCTTCACAGAAGCCTTTAATTCAGACGTGTGATATGTGAGGCTGAGAAGTGATTAAGAACACAGGATCACTAACACCGAACAGGGACATGGGAGGGGACAATTTGTGAAGAGAGAAAGCGCGAGAGAAAGAGAGATAGAGATTGAGAGAGAGATAGTTAGTGAGTGACACATAGATACAGTGAGTGAGACAGAGAGATATTGAGTGAGCGATAGACAGTGAGTGAGAGAGAGACAGTGAGTGAGAGAGATACAGCATGATTGAGAAGCACAGAATATATGTGACTCGTTTCAGGAAGCTAGGCATTTGTCGCACGTCACTACTTCACATGAGAGGCATTTGAACACATACAGTACCAGTCAAAAGTTTGGACACACCTACTCATTCAAGGGTTTTTCTTTATTTTTACTATTTCTTACATTGTAGAATAATAGTGAAGACATCAAAACTATGAAATAACACACATGGAATCATGGAGTAACCAAAAAGGTCTTAAACAAATCAAAATATATTTTATATTTGAGATTCTTCAAATAGCCACACTTTGCCTTGATGACAGCTTTAGCTACCTGCAGATTCATACTACAGCTATGACAATGTTTGTATTGCTAGTAGTATAATTTGGGATTATGCAGGTTCATTGTTTATCTAGCTAGCTATCTAGCTACATGTAAAAAAAAAAAGACTCTACTACACCTGATGATTACATGACTGATCAAGTTAGCCAGGTGTGTCTGGGGGTGATCACGTCCATCTATTGTATTTCATGAACATGTGTACATGTCTAGACAATAGTGACCCATCCACTTAGCTAGATGTAGCTGGGGGGTGGTTATATTATTTATTTCACATGACCTATCAATTTATACAAGTGTGTCTGGGTAAGCGTCATTTAATAATTATACTTTCTGCTTTTGATATTGCTACTATGCAAGTAACCATTTCACTGTACCGTTTACACCTTCTGTATCCTGTGCATGTGAAAAATACATTTTATTTGATACAGTGAGGGAAAAAAGTTATTTAATCCCCTGCAGATTTTGTACGTTTGCCCACTGACAAAGACATGACCAGTCTATAATTTTAATGGTAGGTTTATTTGAACAGTGAGAGACAGAATAACAACAAAAAAATCCAGAAAAATGCATGTCAAAAATGTTATAAATTGATTTGCATTTTAATGAGGGTAATAAGTATTTGACCCCTCTGCAAAACATGACTTAGTACTTGGTGGCAAAACCCTTGTTGGCAATCAGAGAGGACTCCAGGTTTGCACACATCTCAGGAGGGATTTTGTCCCACTCTTCTTTGCAGATCTTCTCCACGTCATTAAGGTTTTGAGGCTGACGTTTGGCAACTCGAACCTTCAGCTCCCTCCACAGATTTTCTATGGGATTAAGGTCTGGAGACTGGCTAGGCCACTCCAGGACCTTAATGTGCTTCTTCTTGAGCCACTCCTTTGTTGCCTTGGCCGTGTATTTTGGGTCATTGTCATGCTGGAATACCCATCCACGACCCATGTTCAATGCCCTGGCTGAGGGAAGGAGGTTCTCACCCAAGATTTGACGGTACATGGCCCCGTCCATCGTCCCTTTTACTAACTGTAAGTTGCTCTGGATAAGAGCGTCTGCTAAATGACTAAAAATGTAAAAAAAACATCGCCCCGTCCATCGTCCATCGTCCCGATGAAGTTCTCCTGTCCCCTTAGCAGAAAAACACCCCCAAAGCATAATGTTTCCACCTCCATGTTTGACGGTGGGGATGGAGTTCTTGGGGTCATAGGCAGCATTCCTCCTCCTCCAAACACGGCGAGTTGAGTTGATGGCAAAGAGCTCGATTTTGGTCTCATCTGACCACAACACTTTCACCCAGTTCTCCTCTGAATCATTCAGATGTTCATTGGCAAACTTCAGACAGGCCTGTATATGTGCTTTCTTGAGCAGGGGGACCTTGCGGGCGCTGCAGGATTTCAGTCCTTCACGGCGTAGTGTGTTACCAATTGTTTTCTTGGTGATTATGGTCCCAGCTGCCTTGAGATCATTGACAAGATCCTCCCGTGTAGATCTGGGCTGATTCCTCACCGTTCTCATGATCATTGCAACTCCACGAGGTGAGATCTTGCATGGAGCCCCAGGCCGAGGGAGATTGACAGTTATTTTGTGTTTCTTCCATTTGCGAATAATCGCACCAACTGTTGTCACCTTCTCACCAAGCTGCTTGGCGATGGTCTTGAAGCCTATTCCAGCCTTGTGTAGGTCTACAATCTTGTCCCTGACATCCTTGGAGAGCTCTTTGGTCTTGGCCATGGTGGAGAGTTTGGAATCTGATTGATTGATTGCTTCTGTGGACAGGTGTCCTTTATACAGGTAACAAATTGAGATTAGGAGCACTCCCTTTAAGAGTGTGCTCCTAATCTCAGCTCGTTACCTGTATAAAAGACACCTGGGAGCCAGAAATCTTTCTGATTGAGATGGGGTCAAATACTTATTTCCCTCAATAAAATGCAAATCAATTTATAAATTTTTTTACATGCATTTTTCTGGATTTTTTTGTTGTTATTCTGTCTCTCACTGTTCAAATAAACCTACCATTAAAATTATAGACTGTTCATGTCTTTGTCAGTGGTCAAACGTACAAAATCAGCAGGGGATCAAATACTTTTTTCCCTCACTGTATGGTGTGTGTTTACCATAGAAGGCAATGTGAAGAACAACATGACCTGCACCAAAGTCAGATCAGGATATAGGCCAAGTACTAGTTAGTGTATTTTTACCTGGAGTTTCCTTATTGTAGGCTACTACTTTCACCACTTTTAGTCTTGAAATCTTCGGTTGTTTACTACACTACTCACTCTGTTTAGCATATGCCCTCACATGTGAATCCTTAAAGAGATAGGTGGGGCTAAGGCTTAAGAGGGTGTGAATGATGTTGAATGGGTGTAGACAAAGAAGAACTCTCCAGTAGGTGTATAAAGAAATTAATGGGCCATTTTCTCAAAAGTGTGGTTACAAGTTTATCCACTTTCAAAGCAGAATTACTTTCACATTGTTCTGTAACTGCAGTTTATGATATAACATTTTCGAGCTCTGAGTGTCTACTTTTATCCAATGTAAAAAATATCATTAAAAATGTTGCTACATAGGACCAAATCCAGGTGGTGGGTCACATATATGCTCCAAAGATGATGTTGTTCGCTCTACTGTTTCATTATACAGATGCTTCTATGTTTTTTGTCAATGTGTAAATGAGTCAATTAAAACCATTCTCTGTAACAAACAATGGCTTTCCAAAACACCCGGGACAGCTATTACAGGGTGTTATGGGCATGCAATGTATGCCAATGTAAATCACTAGAGATATGCTACAATGATGAGATATGATACACTGCGCCTAACACATATCAACTACCGCTGTGGAAGCTGCAGTCACAAATGTACCAGTGTCACATTGCGTGCCATTTTTTAATTTAGCAATGCCAAATATTGTCTTTCAAAAACATGTCATAAAAATGCAATGTTCTCATTACACCAACACCTTCCATTGTTACATTTGTATACCATGTCATGTCATGAAATGTAAAAACAATATGTGTAAGATCATTATATTTGTCTGCAGAGTTCTCACCAAACTGAATACATCGTCCTATTTGGCATTATGGTTATATTTGACATTTAGCAGATGCTCTTATCCAGAGTGACTTACAGGAGCAATTAGGGTTAAGTGCCTTGCTCAAGGGTACATCGACATATTTTTCACCTAGTCGGCTCGGGATTCGCACCAGCGACCTTTCGGTTACTGGCCCAATGCTCTTAACCGCTAGGCTACCTGCCGCCACATAGGTAGCTTGGCAGCAAGTTTTATTAACCAATATTACTCACATAGGCCTATAAAATTATAGTCTGGTTGCCAGTCTGTTTAGATTCCGTTCTACTCGTTGTACTCCATGCATGGCATGTGCCACATTTTGAGCACATGACATGGTGTACAATGACTGGAATGGAAGCTAAACAGACTGGTACCCAGACTAATAACATTAAGTATGCCATCTAGATTGCAATTTCAGCACCAATTTATTGCATTAATTTTAATTCTGTCAAAGTGCTTACAAGACTTTATATTGCAAGCTCTAAGATCAAATATTCACAGCCAGAACTATATTGTATTTTGACACTCAAACTTTTCTAAAGAAGCTAAAATGTAATCACTTCTGAGAAATAAGTCCCTGTACAAATGTGAATCTCATAGCCTGCTAAATGGCATATTATTATTATTATCATCATTCATAGCCAGAGTGAACTGAACATGAATTCCATAGAGGCACCCTTACAACCTTAACAGTTGGTTCTCTTACCTTTCACAACCAAGATGGCTGAAGCAGACAAGCTTTCCACGTCGGTGTTGATAACACAGACATACTTTCCCCCGTGATTCAGCTGGATGTTACGAATCATCATATCTCCTGAGATGCTCTACAAGGGAAAACAATAACACACAAGAAAAGCTGGTGTAAGATCAAGAAATAAAAAGGAAATACACTCTGAACTGTTTCATAATTCTCTCTGAGCAACTGCATGTGTGATCCTACTGTAGGTTGATTAATAAATACATGTATTACATTGGAGCAATAGCATGTGCAACTACCTTCTTTTTCTTTCCAAGTGTGACTGTAGCTTTAAAATTGAGAAAGCTCTGTGCATGGAGCTGCATGTGGTCCCCTCAGGTCACAGAGTCTTGTGACACACGGAAACCAGCAAGAACGTGAGCTGTGTTCTAAACAAACAGTCCTGTTGGCTATCCTTCAGGCACTGCATGCTCCCCTACTCAGCCTCGCACAGGACCACCAAAACAAACACACAACGGCTAATTGGCAAGATGATCCTAATTATTCAAGAATTACATAAGCAGGCATGAGAAATTAGTACGACTTACAGACTAAGAGCTAATATTGTTCTAAATAAAACAGTATGCTCTTTCACGCCATGGGGAAACTAAAGCTGATAAACTATTGAAAAACCTAAAGAGGAGTGAGGTGATGAAATAGCTTCAGTTAATCTTCCCATCTGCCATGGAGGCTTAAGTACAGTTACAGAAGTCAATGTGGAAGAGTTATAACATTTAAATGTCTTCATATTTTAAAGTGAGTGATATGGGAACATCTTTATCTGCAGTTAACTATTAGGCACATAGCAATGCTACCCATCACTCTATCTGGGGAGTGGGACTCATATTCTAAAAATCCAGAGCCAATGTTCACTTAGTGAAGTGGTCTGTCACACATACATGGCATGTCATCCTTCAGGACTCCTTTTAAGATAGAGTGTGTTTGTCTGGAGAGGATTCACCTAAGGGCTAAGCAGGTTAGACACACTCAAGCTACGCCAAATTTCATCAACTCACTGGGCAGTGACCACAGCTCGGCTAGGCTCGGTTGCAATTGGGCATGAACGCCCCGAGGAACCTCACCTCTCGGGGGCAAAGACAAAGCAGAGCAGAGCGGCACTTATGTGTGGCTGAGGGACGGCATGGCACTCCTCTCTTCTGACAGGCTAACATGCTCATGCCATGTCTGCCTCTGACATGCCAGCCAGCAGCTGTCTGACTGGAGAGCGAGGGGTTAAATTCCATGCCTTGCCAGGCAGGAAGCTATGAGGCAGATCTGGCTTAATTATGTTAATTAATTCATCAGACGCTGTTGAGAGGAGCTGGTAATCTCCCTGGGCATGGGGATATGGAATATGTGAAAACTGTATCTCATTATTTGTGTGTCCACATGTCAATGTCATTTGTAATTGCCATTTGTCTATCCACACAGGAGTGAACTTAGCATGACCACAACGTGGGAGGGGTTCAACTCTGATATCAACGTAAACTTTGATCCATGAATTTAGTTTATTCAGCTATATCCGTACAATGAACCATGGGTGAATAATGAATCCATAAAACAGTGATAAATGATTCTCTAAAACAATTTGGCAGAGACGAGCGCAGAACAAATGACTGCGCTCGTCTATCAAAAGGAACACATATTTTAGACAAAGAGTAGTCTCTTATCGTTAATTGAAGGCATGAGGAATTCAAATGAACATTTTACTGGTGCCAAGGCTTGCCCTTGGTTAATGCCAGCCAACTCATTACAAATTATTTCAGGGCACAAGACTCATAAATAGGTATGCAAATTCAATTACGGCAAAGAGAGATGATAACAAAATGATCTCCCTTGAGGTGGAGAAATTAGAAGTTTGAGGGATGAAAAGTATAAAGACTTTTAATTCATCAGGCTTCTTCTACCATTGAAACAGCTTAAAGATTAGTAGGATCTCCTATGAAATACTGTGGCTTTCACCTTTATATTGTCTTACGAATAAGATCGCAATTCTTATGGGCTGTCCGATAGACAGGGAGTTAAAAGGTAAATGGAAGAGTCATTGAAAAAGAGGAAATATAACTTCAAGCAATGGAAGTTAAATACAGCCTATTGAAGCTTCGCTTCAATGCTAAAACTGCTGCTAAGATTTGATCCCAACACATGCTTCATTAGTACTTTTCTTGTATACACGTTTAATAAAGTAGCCTACAGTGTGATGGTAGGGCTTTTAGAGGTTTTTAGGAAGTAGCTAACCTATTACATAGAGATTCTACAGAGTTTCCAAACGAAGCATATTATTTTGCAGTCTGCCACACTGTGTGAAACAATTAATCCTAGAATAGCCTCACAGCAGTTGTCCACTGCTCCTGATGACTCACCCCTCCTACTCTGTCGAAATGGTCAGCGTCCCCGTGGAAGTCTATGAGCTGCCCGTTGAAGGCCCAGGAGAAAGAGACATCCAGGGCTGGATCGCTGGCTGTCTGGCAGGGCAGCACAATACTCTCGCCAACAATGATCTCCATGTTAGCAGGCCTCTGGGTGATTCTGGTGGGCTCTGTCCAGACAATGACAGCTTAGTATGCATCTTAATACTCTCTGGGTGGGAACCATTACGCTCAAACAACCCTAGTGTTTAGATTATAACTATATCATACTATCACTACGACAAGGATCATCATAGCTACATGTGTCTTGGTTCTAGCACTTAACTTAAAAAAAAAATCTGGTTGACACTTCGTATTTGCATGGTCAACTTGGGGGGAAATGTTTGAAGTAGGATTATGCAAGCAGAATGCATTCCCAATGGTGGCTGTAGAGAATTGCATGCAGTGGAGTATGGGAGCCTTGTAAGAGAAAGGTCAGGATAATTAAATTCCATTAGATTAAAGGGATCAGCTGTTGGCGTAAAACTTTAAATTAGCGAATGAGAAAAACAAGGGAGGTGGAGACAGACGTTTACAACACATGTACCAGATAACTGCATCAACACGTTAAGTCTCCGCATCCATAAGTAATGACCTTTACTTAATTGCAGTACAATAACTTATTGCCTATTTTTAAGCACCATTTCAATTGCTTTAATTAGAAAATAACAACCTTGACCGTGTTAAGTTGTACAGACAAAATAGTAACGATCACTTTCATTAGGTGTTAGGCTGGAATTATTAGTACGATTATCAGCACAAGTAAGTACATACAAATATCAGACAGTACACTCAAAAAAATGCTGGGTTGTTTGGATGACCCAACTACTGGGTTGCAGGCATTGGGCCACTTAATTAGGTTGTTTTCTTTAAGAAGAGTAAGATTGGGTTGTTGATGCTGGGTTAATAATGCTGGGTAAAACTGGAGGCGTGGCTTAGTAGGGGTGTGGGTTTCAGATAGTTATTTTTGCCCACCTGTGAAAGTAAATGTAATTCCTGTTAATCTGTTCTGTTGTATTGTTGTCACGTTAAGGTTGAATACTGACAGTTTTGTAGCTTCATTGAAGCTTATTGAAGTGTGGGCTGCAGGTAGCCTAGTGGTTAGAGCATTAGGCCAGTATCCGAAATGTTGCTGTTTTGAATACCCAAGCCTGCAAGATGAAAAATCTGTCGATATACCCTAGTTTTGGGGCGATGGCTCAGGGCTTATTGGGAGAATATGTTATGATAGCTCACCTGTGATGAACAGCCTTCCAGTGGTGCTTGCAGTCCCAAACTGATTCTTAGCGATGCACGTGTAGCTTCCCGCATCCCTCCTGGTTACATTAGCAATCTTCAGTGTCCCGTTGGGAAGCAGAGTAATCCTGGGGGATGAGTAACAGAGATTCAGAGCTTTTGCTTGGGTAGAGAACAGAAGTGCCGTGTCTAAATCCAGTCCAAGTGCTAGGATGCATCATCACCTTCATTTCAACACCATTTACATGTTTCCTTCTATTCCAACAGAGGAAAGCCCAACTGTAATTTTAGAAAATGGACTTTGCATTTTTCCATTTCCTATGAAGATTGGTGTCCTAATGTCAATCATTCCACCCAGGCTTGTCATTCAAGCGATTGTTATCTGCATGTGCATTTTTGTATTTGAACATAATAAGACTGAATGACTGAAATGTAAGTCTTCGCATATACTAACCATTCAATATGCACAAACGCTGCATACTACATTGACTATCTACTGTATATATACATTTTTGCAGGGCTTTGTTTTCTTCTCATTTGCCTGTCCTCCTATTCATCCACACATGCAAATATTCTAATAACACATAACTACACTTTGTGAATGGAAGAGAATTCATCCTGGGTTCCATACTACCTTTCGTTTCTCTGCAGGATCTCATTGCCTTTCTTCCACAGGCTAATTGCCCGGGGCGAGGCTTGGGGCTTGCACTCCAAAGCCACGTTACTGCCTGAGCAAGCTTTTAGCAGGGCCTTCAGTGGATTCTTGGAGAAACTGGGAGGTGATGCTAGAGAAGACACAGGGGGTGAAAAACGTGAAGAAGACAACTTGAACCAACTCCTAGATCAACTGTGCTGAGCTGAGCTGAGATTGACTCTCATTCCCTCCCTCCTTCCCCTACCCTCTGGCATAAAAGCCACGATCTCCATAGGATCTGCTCCAAGGCTTCAGCAATGAAGCCATACCCCCCCCCCCCCCCCCCCCCCTAAAGACCAGTCCTCACTACACAGTATGGGATTCTCTAAACTTTGGGCTTCATCTGTCATCATCACATTTGTCAGCCATCATCGGAGACCCCCAGTGTCATTAAATATCAAGACAGAATTGGATTTCTCATCCAGTAGGTCAGATAGAACTCATCAAAGCTCTCCAAATAAATCGATATGTCATCTACATGAGAAAGCCCTCTGATGCCACTATGCAACGTATTTGTAGTATCAAAATCAATATAATGATTGAAACTAAAATGAGACACTCCATCAGATTCATATTTTCTTCTTTGGAGCCGAAGTGGCATTAAATGAGGCAGCAGAGTGATTTTTGAAAAGGGCAATCGCAGGATGCTAGTTTTACCTTTAAGAATATGATCAAACAGACAGCAAGATAGACACATATAAAAAGCGGAGAGGAAAGCAATCTTACCTAACACCATTAGCTCAGCGCTGGAATAAATAATGCCATGTTTGTTTTCCGCCACACACTGATACATCCCGGTGTCTGACAGGTTTAATGCTGCTATGGAGAGAGCCCCGTTTTCAATTTGTACCCGGCCCTGTGGATGAGAAAGCAGACAGATCTGCATACGTATTGCTGGAGCAGTCGAATATGTCCACAGGCGTAAATGCAATTACTTGTACACTATGAAGAGACGAAGAGAGCAAGAGACGAGAAGAAAATACATTTTATAGCCCTCTGTTGCAGTATGTATGCTCAGATTGGGGTCTAACAAATGCTGACCTGCAGCTTCAATGAAAATAAAAAAAGCAATGTTGACAATACCAGTAGAACACTAATAAGCAATTTATTTTCCATGGCCATCCAGTTGGAAAAGCCACTAAGACAGGTCTGATTTTTTTTGCTGATGTCTTGCTCAGCCTGAATTTTAACCCCATCAGCTGTTCAGAGAGCCTGTACCACGGCACACTATGGTGGAGATGTTGATGTGATGTGTCTGTGGGACAGGTCCCTCAGATCGGATCCATCACAGTGCTGTGAAGGGGGGAGGAACGCTCTGCATGCTCAGAGCTGGTGGTTGCCAGGGCTCCATTCATACCTCTGCCATTAGGTTGTCTCCATTCTTCAGCCAGCTGTAGGAGGGCTTGGGCTTCCCGTTAGCCTTACATTCCCAGAACAGGTTCTCCTCAATGGACAGGGCCCCGTCGATCATTGTCTGGAGCCAATGGGGTTTCGCTATGAAAAGAGGGAATATGCAAATGTCAGGGACATAATGACAATAAAAAAGCCAACTGAGTCAAGACTGAAAATGAATTGTTATCATGGACCACTGAAATAATATCAGCATTGAATGAATATTCCATCTTTTCACACAATTACTATGCCAGGTTTTCTATCAGACGACCAAGGCCACAGCCAGTATTCCGACTCCAAGCCTACATTAAAAAATGTGGATATCTATTACAACAGCACATTGACTCATAAGTCTCTCTGGACTTTAAACGGATCACTTACCATGGAAGGAGATACGACCTCGTGCAGCGTTTTTGCCTCTGCTATTTTCTGCCACACACTCGTACGTCCCTGTGTCTTCCTGCTGGAAATTTGGAATTTCAAGGACTGCGTTGGAGTTCTTCATCTTAACCTTACTGGGAAATGGGACGCCACTGGTTCTCCTCCAACTTATTTCTGGGACTGGGCTGCAACATTAGGAAAGAAAAAAAGCCCTAATGACGACGACTGTCTGAGGTGGAAAAAATGTGATTAACTGTACAGAAGCTTTAACTGTGTAATGGAATTCCATTCTTCTCTAAGGAGGAGGCTGCCAAAGCCTTTAGAATTACTGTAACCATACACATCTGTCTCTCATCCATTTTCACTGTCTCAAATTTCTGTGGCTTTGCTTTCCTGGGAGATATATGAAAGGACGTTTGATTTTCACATCCTTACGATGTGATATTGCTTTCTGTAGCCCCTTGGGAATCTGTGATATTTGTTTGTTTATCCCCATACGCTTTTGCAGAGGCAGCACCTATTCTTCCTGGGGTCCACAAAAAAACACAAAACATGACAAGTAACGAAACACTGATAAACTGACAGACAAGAGCAGTCACACACATTTTAAATACAATGATATACAAACAATTCAAAAAGACAAAACAAAAAAATGTGTGTGTTAGATTGTGTCTGTGTGTGCGTGTGTTTGTGTGTCACCTCACAGTCCCCGCCGTTCCATTAGATGTTGTTTAATATTTTTTTAAAGGTAATTTTGCTGTTTGCTTGAGTAATTGGAGATGGAAGGGAGTTCCATGCGATCATGGCTCTGTATAATACTGTGCGTTGCCGTGAATTCCTGGTGGCATGTCTTGTGGGTGTTTGAGCTGAATGTTATTTGATTATGCAGACAATCTGGAATTTTCATTAAAGTAATACTTCTCATAAAAACTAGGAGAAGCAGTTAATCTCTCGTCAACCCTCAACCAGGAAAGACTGGCATGCATGCTGTTGATGTTAGTTCTGTATGTGCAGTTATGGGAAAGCTATGTTGCTGCTCAGTTTTGAGCCAGCTGCAGCTTTGTTAGGTTTTTCTTTGCTGCACCTGACCATATTACCAGACAGTAATCAAGATGGGACAAGATCAGAGCCTGAACAACTTGTACAGTTGATCTTTGTGTCAAAAACGCAGAACATCTTTTTATAACAGACATACCCCTCCCCATCTTCACAACAACTTGGTCAATTTGACTTGACCATGATAATTAACCATCCAATATTATACCTAGGAGTTTAGCTTCCTCAACTTGCTCAATGGTCACACCCCTTGTACACAACTCCAGTTGAGGTTTAGGTCTTAGAGAATGTTTTGAACAAAATACAATGGTTTTAGTTTTAGATGTAGTTAAGACCAGTTTATTATTAAATCACCCATTCTGATACTGACTGTAACTCCTTATTTAGAATTTCAGTGAGCTCACTGGCTTCGGGTGCTGACATGTAGAGTGTGGAATCATCCGCATACATAGTCATTCTAGCTTCATGTAAGACCAGTGGCAAATCATTTGTAAAAATAGAGAAGAGTTACAGCCCAAGGCAACTGCCCTGAGGGACTCCGCACTGTACTTATCTGATGTTAGAGAAGCTTCCATTGAAGAACACTCTCTGGGTTCAATTGGATACATAACTCTGCAACCATGTGATGGCAGGTGATGGAAAGCTATAGCAAGTGAGTTTCTTCAATAACAATTTATTATCAATAACATCAAAGGCTGCACTGAAATCTAACAATACAGCTCCAACTATCATCTTTTTATCCATTTCTTTTAAACAATCATATGTCATCTGAGTCAGTGCAGTACAAGTTGAGTGCCCTTCTCTATATGCATGCTGAAAGTCAGTAGTTAACTTGTTCTCTGAAAAATAGCATTGTATTTGGTCAAACACAATTCTCTCAATCAGTTTACTAAGAGCAGGCAGCAAACTGATTGGACGGCTGTTAAAGACATCAAAGGGTTAGGCAGTGGAATTACTTTAGCTTCCTTCCACACCTGTGGACACACACTCCTTTAGGCTTTGGTTAAAGATATAGCAAATAGCGGTGGCAATACAGTCTGCTACCATTCTCAATAGTTTCCCATCAAGGTTGTCTATATCTGGTGGCTTTTCATTATTGACGGATAACAATAGTTTTTCCATCTCTCCCACACTAAATTGACCAAATTCAAAACAGCAATCCTTCTCTTTCGTTATTAGATATTTTATAGAAAAATATGATGGTTCACTGTTCAATGTTGTCATTTCACTTCTGAGTTTTTCCACTTTACTAGTGAAATAGTCATTGAAATTATTGGCAACATCGAATGTTTTTTAAAATAAATAAATGACCCATCAACTTCAATGAACGATGGAGATTAATTGGGTTTTCCGCCAATGATATAATTTAAGGTATTCCAAAGTTTTTTTCCATTGTGTTTTATGTCATTTATCTTGGTTTGGTAATATAGTTTCTTATTATTTTTGTTTAGTTTAGTCACAAAATGTCTCAATTTACAGTATGTCAACCAATCAACTGAGTAGCCTGACTTATTTGCCACCTCTTTCGCATAATTTCAAATCAAATCAAATCGTATTTCTCACATGCGCCGAATACAACAGGTCTAGACCTTACTGTGAAATGCTCACAAGTCCTTAACCAACAATGCAGTTCAAGAAAGAGTTAAGAAAATATTTACTAAATAAACTATAGTAAAAAATAAAATATCAATAAAAAGTAACACCATAAAATAACAATAACAAGGCAATATACAGGGGGTACCGGTACCGAGTCAATGTGCGGCAGTACAGGTCAGTCGAGGTAATTTGTACATGTAGGTAGGGGTAAAGTGACTATGCATAGATAATAAACAGCGAGTAGCAGCAGTGTAAAAACAAAGGGAGGGGGAAGGTGTCAATATAAATAGTCCGGGTGGCCATTTGATTAATTGTTCAGCAGTCTTATGGCTTGGGGGTAGAAGTTGATAAGGAGCCTTTTAGTTCTAGACTTGGCGCTCCGGTACTGCTTGCCGTGCGATAGCAGAGAGAACAGTCTATGACTTGGGTGACTGGAGTCTTTGACAATTATTTTCTCTGACACAGTCTAGTATATAGGTCCTGGATGGCAGGAAGCTTGGCCCCAGTGATGTATTGAGACGTATGCACTACCCTCTGTAGCGCCTTATGGTCAGATGCCGAGCAGTTGCCATACAAGGCGGTGATGCAACCGGTCAGGATGCTCTCAATGGTGCAGCTTTATAACGTTTTGAGGATCTGGGGACCCATGCCAAATCTTTTCAGGCTCCTGAGGGGGAATAGGTGTTGTTGTGCCCTCTTCATGACTGTCTTGGTGTGTTTGACAATGATCGTTTGTTGGTGATGTGGACACCAAGGAACTTGAAACTCTCAACCTGCTCCACTACAGCCCCGTTGATGTTAATGGGGGGCCTGTTCGGCCTGCCTTTTCCTGTAGTCCACGATCAGCTCCTTTGTCTTGATCACATTGAGGGAGAGGTTGTCCTGGCACCACACTGCCATGTCTCTGACCTCCACCCACACTACCAGGTCTCATCGTTGTCGGTGATCAGGCCTACCACTGTTGTGTCGTCAGCAAACTTAATGATGGTGTTGGAGTCGTGTTTGGCCACGCGGTCGTGGGTGAACAGGGAGTACAGGAGTGGACTAAGCACACACCCCTAAGGGGCCCCAGTGTTGAGGATCAGCGTGGCAGATGTGTTGTTGCCTTTCCTTAGCACCTGGGGGCGGCCCGTCAGGAAGTCCAGGATCCAGTTGCAGAGGGAGGTGTTTAGTCCCAGGGTCCTTAGCTTAGTGATGAGCTTTGTGGGCACTATGGTGTTGAACGCTGAGCTGAAGTCAATGAACAGCATTCTCACATAGGTGTTCCTTTTGTCGAGATGGGAGAGGGCAGTGTGGAGTGCGATTGAAATTGCGACATCTGTGGATCTGTTGGGGCGGTGTGCGAATTGGAGTGGGTCTAGGGTTTCTGGGATGATGGTGTTGATGTGAGCCATGACCAGCCTTTCAAAGCACTTCATGGCTACCGACGTGAGTACTACGGGGCGGTAATAATTTAGGCAGGTTACTTTTGCTTTCTTGGGTACAGGGACTATGGTGGTCGCTTGGAACATGTAGGTATTACAGACTCGGTGATGGAGAGTTTTAAAATGTCAGTGAAGACACTTGCCAGTTGGTCATCCGTCTGGCCCCACGGCTTTGTGAATGTTGACCTGTTTAAAGGTCTTGTTCACATCGGCTATCGAGAGCGTGATCACACAGTCGTCCGGAACAGCTGGTGCTCTCACGCATACATAACATTTCCATAATATTTCTCAATTAATCATCAATCCAGAGGGTTCTTACAGTTCTCACAGTTAATTTCTTAATAGGTGCATTAATCATTTTACAAACACTTCCAGTGCTGCATCTGGATTCACTTCCTCATACACATCAGACCAACATACATGTTTTACATCTTAAACAAAATAGTCCTGAGAAAACATTTTGTATGATCTCTTACAAATTACTTTAGGCCCAACCTAAAAGCTCTGCAGCATGAGTGACGATATGATCAAAACAAGTGGTATGCACTCTAATTGGTTCAGTGATACCCTGGGTCATATTATAGGCATTAGTCACAGTTAGAAGCTTCCTCTTGAGAGGACAGCTAGATGCTAACCAGTCAATGGTCAGGTCACCCAGAAAATAGACCTCTCTGTTAACATCCACACGCTATCAAGCAATGCACACATATTATCCAAATACTGACTGTTATATCCGTGTATTGCTACTGCTGTATCATCAAAGGAATTATGAATTTCAGAGATGGCCAGTATTTGAATGTTATCCGATGTTAGCAAGTTCTTGATTTCATGAACCTTATTTCTAAGGCTACATGTATTAATATAGGCTATTCTTAGCCCTTTCCTGGGTAGCTTATCAGAGATAGACATAATATGGAGAAATAAATTAAAGTAGGGGTGTGGAACAGAAAACCAGTCAGTATCTGGTGTGACCATTTGCCTCATGCATCGCGACACATCTCCTTCGCATAGAGTTGATCAGGCTGTTGATTATGGCCTGTGGAATGTTGTCCCACTGCTCTTCCATGGCTTTGCAAAGTTGCTGGTTAATGGCGGGAACTGGAACACACTGTTGTACACGAAAATCCAGAGAATCCCAAACAGGCTTCCAGGAATTGTGTACAGATCCTTGTGACGTGGGGCCGTGCATTATCATGCTGAAACATGAGATGATGGCGGTGGATGAATGGCACGACAATGGGCCTCAGGATCTTGTCATGGTATCTCTGTGCATTCAAATTGCCACTGATAAAATGCAATCGTCTTCGTTGTCTATAGCTTATTCCTGCCCATACCATAACCCCACCTCCACCATGGGGCACTCTGTTCACAACGTTGACCTCAGCAAACCGCTCACCCACACAACGCCATACACGTGGTCTGCGGTTGTGAAGCCGTTTGGACGTACTGCCAAATTCTCTGAGGGAGCATGCCAATTGCACACTCACTCAAAACTTGAGACATCTGTAGTATTGTGTTGTGTGACAAAACTGCACATTTTAGAGTGGCCTTTTATTGTCCCCAGCACAAGATGCACTTGTGTAATGAGCATGATGTTTAATCAGCTTCTTGATATGCCACACCTGTCAGGTGGATGGATTATCTTGGCAAAGAAGACATGTTCACTAACAGGGATGTAAACTAATTTGTGCACAACATTTGAAGGAAATAAGCTTTTTGTGCATATGGAACATTTCTGGGATATTTTATTTCAGCTCATGAAACATGGGACCAACACTTTACATGTTGAGTTTATATTTTCAGTATATACACTACCGTTCAAAAGTTTTAGAACACCTACTCATTCAAGGGTTTTTCTTTATTTTTTACTATTTTCTACATTGTAGAATAATAGTGAAGACATCAAAGCTATGAATTAACACATATGGAATCATGTAGTAACCAAAAACATATGTTAAACAAATCAAAATATATTTTATTTTTGAGATTCTTCAAATAGCCACCCTTGCCTTGATGACAAATTTGCACACTCTTGGCATTCTCTCAACCAGCTTCATGAGGAAGTCACCTGGAATGCATTTAAATTAAGAGGTGTGCCTTCTTAAGTTAATTTAACATCAAGCACTATGATGAAACTGGCTCTCATGAGGACCGCCACAGGAATGGAAGACCCAGAGTTACCTCTGCTGCAGAGGATAAGTTTATTAGAGTTACCAGCCTCAGAAATTGCATCCCAAATAAATGCTTCACAGAGTTCAAGTAACAGACACATCTCAACATCAACTGTTCAGAGGAGACTGTGAGAATCAGGCCTTCATGGTCGAATTACTACTACTAATGGACACCAATAAGAAGAAGAGACTTGCTTGAGCCCAGGAAACACGAGAAATTGACATTAGACCGGTGGAAATGTATCCTTTGGTCTGGAGTCCAAATTTGAGGTTTTTTGGTTCCAACCGCCATGTCTTTGTGAGACGTGGTGTGGGTGAACGGATGATCTCCGCATGTGTAGTTCCCACCGTAAAGCATGGAGGAGGAGGTGTTACGGAGTGGGGGTGCTTTGCTGATGACACTGTCTGTGATTTATTTAGAATTGAAGGCACACTTAACCAGCATGGCTAACACAGCATTCTGCAGCGATACGCCATCCCATCTGGTTTGGGCTTAGTGGGACTATAATTTGTTTTTCAACAGGACAATGACCCAACATACCTCCAGGCTGTGTAAGGGCTATTTTACCAAGAAGAAGAGTGATGGAGTGCTGCATCAGTTGACCTGGCCTCCACAATCCCCCGACCTCCACCCAATTGAGATGGTTTGGGATAAGTCGGACCGCAGAGTAAAGGAAAAGCAGCCAACAAGTGCTCAGCATATGTGGGAACTCCATCAAGACTGTTGGAAAAGCATTCCAGGTGAAGCTGGTTGAGAGAATGCCAAGAGTGTGCAAAGCTGTCATCAAGGAAAACGGTGGCTATTTGAAGAATCTCAAATCTCAAATATATATTGATTTGTTTAACACTTTCTTGGTTACTACATGATTCCATATGTGTTATGTCATAGTTTTGATGTGTTCACTATTATTCTACAATGTAGAAAATTGTAGAAAAGAAAAACTCTTGAATGAGTAGGTGTTCTCAAACTTTTGACCAGTAGTGTATAAAACATTGTTTAGCTAATAGTAAGTCAATTAAAACCCATTTCAGAAACGTTCAACAACAACAAACCAAGTTCTCTCTCATTCCACTTTCAGCATGCGTCGCGCTCTGTTGACGTCACGGTGTAATGTGAGTTGGTTGCAGGATAATGTTGTGTTTTGTGATACTTGACTTCAAGACTTTAGGTGATATCACTAATATTCCAGCATCCTAAAAACAGCAACCTCATAATTACAATGATCTGTGTGACTTATGCACATGCACAAACTTGCACATTCACTCCAACTTACTTTCCCAGAGCGAAACATTCCAGTTTCACTGTGGATCCCTTCGCAGCTGGAACAGTGTCAGGGAAATGAACTTCTATTTTGGGTTCGTATTCACCCATTGCTCCTACGAAAGGGAGACAATACACAAACCAAATTTTGGCATTAATGATTAATGGCGCACACGCTTTACACCCTGGAAAACAAGGTACAACAATAACATGCGCCCAGAAACACAAAGGTCTTTGTGTGTGGAACAGAAGCGATCACTGAGAGGTTGTTAAGATGGAGAGAAATGGAAAACGTTTGTAAAAGGTTCAAAGAAGAACACACCTGGGTGAAGGCATGGTAGGGATTAATCTCCTTCTTTTCAGACTGAATCTTATATTCAAGCTGCTAGGAGGACAACAGCTTCACCCTTTGACTTTACCTTTTGAGGGTATAAGATTACTCTTTCTCTTTGACCACTTATAATCAGCATTACAGAATATCTGGATAGAATGGTCTATTGTAGACTGTGTATAGTCTGCCAATGCTTTACGAATTGTGGCTTAATCTTGGCAGCTTTTTAAAATGTGGGCAGCTTTTTGTTTTGTGCTGTCTGATCAGTGTGTCTGTTTATATAAAGGATGGGATCTTACCATCATTCCTCAGGACCAGCGGTGTAGGAGAGCTGAGGACTTTGCCCTTAGTGATGCTGTTGTTGACCACACAGGTATAGTTTCCCACATCAGAAGGCTCCACTTTAGCGATGTACAGACTTCCTGTCTCCTGAGAGATGAATCGACGACTGTCTTGCTGGACAAAGTAGGGGTACTCATTGAAGATCCATGCAAATGTCAGCTCTAGGAGGGAGAGGAATATGACAGTCGTAAATACAATACACCACTATTAATATGTTACAACACAGTAATGTGTTTGTAGGCGTAGTAGTCTACATTGAAAAATTCCCTTTTGAAAATATAATTTAGCATGTATGCTAAATATTTCACAGTGTAGGTATTGCCCATTGATTAAATACTGTATTAGAAAACAAAAGAAAAACAGATTGTAAGCAGATCATGTTAGCATTCCACACAATTTCCTTATTTCAGTTTCCTGAAAGAAGATACCAGGGCAAATACAGTAGAACAGTTATTGGTGCACAAGAAAGAGCGTCCAAAGGAAAGAGAGCGAAACAAAACGGATTACAGCGCTTCACTGGCACTCTCATGACACATGCCCTGTCCTCTACCCTGAGTGACTGGGGACAGGGCTTTTTTCCAGGCTTGACTCACGCATGCCACACTTCTCCTCAGCCAACAGGCCTATCTAAAGAACACAGAGTACTGGGTCATCTTGAAAAGAGCCAGTGCACAGATTCATAGGAGCGAGGTACTGTAGCGAAAGCCTATCTACCGTGGCATGGAAGTGAGAGCGTGTACGGACCTACAAGGTGTGTATCCAGCGTATCCACTCATCTCCTGTCCCCCTGGGAGGAGAACGCCTCGCAAACCTTGGCTCCTGGGATCACGTCTTGGCAGTCGGTTCAGTGAAGCCAAAACCAATTCATTCTGATGAAGCAAAGCAAGACCGGGGATCCCTGACTCTGAGCTATGTGGCCGTAATGAACAGTGATAGCATTTGTCAAGAAAATACAAGTCAAGAGGAAAATGAAAATATAGTGCAACAACCTCTTTTCTTATTGAACACAATGGCTATTTATGTAACAAGCACAACGTTACAAACATGCAATAGCTATGACACAAAAAGAAACCGTCCCATAATTGAGCCCTGGAGAATACACCCATATATATGATGGAGCAGAGCCCTAATGCAGTCACTTTTGCTAGAAACAATATTTCATTTGTGGCCATGTCGATGTAACATGAGATATAATGTGTGATTTGAGAGAACATCTATTCCAGCAATTGAAGCCGCTGAGGCAGAGTTTAAACCTGCAGGGATGTCTTACAGTCAGTGGATAGCGATGGGTCCACCGAGTTCAAGGTTGTGTGTGACATTCATGCTTCACAATGCAATGAGCACAGTGCCACACTTACTTGGCCTTATTCACTTGTTCAAGTAGGGAAATCAAAGAAAACACAATACTGCTATGGTAACAACAACACGCCTGGCACAAGCTCATTTTTGAGTGAGAGGCTGTCGCATTGTGTTTCACACTGGCTACCCCATGCCATTATCGCCCCCTGTACAGGCCTGTATACACACACACACACCTACTGTAGGCACACTTTGTACAATACATTAGAGAGGAACCAGCCACTTTAAAGTGTCACATTAAAAGTGAGTGGTCCTGCAACAGGGTCAGCCTGTATGTATGCAAAGTCCATTATTCAATACTAAGCAAACTGGAATTGAGTAGTGTTGCGATCACACACACTTCAATAGCCATCTCACATGTGCAGAGTCATTTTGTCTGTACAAGTTGAAAATTGCATGAAAGCTAAATAAGATATTCCAGAAAGTGATATGATTTGTTTTCCCTCTAGGGTGTAGAGTAAATTAGTTTGCAAAATCCCTTTGAATTCTGCATTCCATTACTATTGATGATCTAATCCAGGATTGATTAAAAGCACTTTTCTCAAGACTGCATTGTCTAATGATTTGGTTAAGACTCCAATTTGAGGAATATATTTTTTCATTTGCCACCAGATTTGGCAATAGAGTTCAGAATGAAAAATAAATAAAGGCAAGCTAAGCATAGCTTTATTCTGCAAACATCTGTGTGAAATACGTTTCATTTGAGGCTGCTAGCAAGAATGCATGCTTTGAGGCTCTAACAAATAAGGTTTTATGAAAGAACTGATTAGGTTAGGAATATCAGCACACCAAATAGCACCAGTATATTCACTCATATACTGCATCAAATATTTTAATGGGATACAGAGGAGTGGAATCTTATCAGGTATTCATAAATATCTCCAATAAGGAAAAAACCTACCTCCAGAATGCATGGGTGGTCCACATAACAAAACCACTCCTTGGCCCTCTCGGACACTGACAGCACTCCGTGTCGTTTGGGTCTTGAAGTTATCTAGGTCTTATCAACACAAAAATCAAGGGTAAGCTTTACTGTTATTACAGAAGACATGTTGGGTAAATATAAAGCACATTTGACATAAAACACTAACCTTAGAATTACTGTATGTCTAAATGCAGCTGATAACTCAATCAGTATCAGCTAATGTCTTTCCCAGTTTGGTTAAGGTTTCATCAACACATGCATCAGTTATATTGGTTTCTTTAAATCCCTAAAATCCATGTACTGTATGAAAACCATTTACAGGTACAGTAATGGATTGCTTTAGAACACACCCAATGCTTTCCAATACTTAGAAAGGCAACTGTAACATTAAATATTATTGTTGGACTTATGGTATGGTATGTGATGGATACTTCACAACACACAGTTGTTATGATAGCAGCAGGAGATTAAATTGCAAAGGGATAAAAAGGGGGAGGAAGTTGGAGGGACTGCACAAACACGGAGCACATGACGAATAACAGGATTCAGTGCCAAGAGCAATAACCAACATCATTATTAAATGCAGTGTAATCTCACCCTTAAAAGCACTAGCTTCCCTATCAATACTCTGGGCGCAATTCATCCCTGCAAATGAAAGAGGAAAAGCTGCCTGACTGAGCTTGTACCTGGGTGATGAAATGTTCCTCTATTTTAGTGAGTGATGGGTGAACTACTGTACCCCTGTCCCTACTGATTCTGCACCCTCGGGCGGGCAGCCCTACAGTCAGGCCCCGAACACAAACAAAATAAAGTCAATGTGACCGATAAACGAAATTGGGAAAAGAGGAGGATTACAGAGGGGAGTGGGAGAGCGAATGGAAGATTAATGAGCCAGTCTCCGATGACCGTGGTGAAATCCAACACAGCCAAGTCATAGCAGGATTCTTTCCAGGCCACACATTGTGTCACCATCTTCTAATAGAGCCATAGAGAACTAGCTAGAACTCGCAACCATGGTGCTGATTCTAAAGCACTGGAGGAGTTAGGCTAGGCTATCTAGATGAGGGAAAGGTGGTGCATGCTGGTTGGAAAGCAGATCCAAACAGCAGCTGATTATTATGATAATATCCCTTTTGTAACAGTGGGAGGTGGGAATCAGTTACGGTAGGGAGCGAGGCCTTCCTCTACTCCTCTCTCCCTCACACAGAAAGGCTCAGTGTAACGGAGAGACAGTAGGGACTGCTAAAACACAGCACTCTATAAGCTGGCTCTGTCCTGTCTATAGCAGAACGAGGGCTTTCTGTGTAATATGTCTCCTCTACACAGACTCCAACTCTGAGAGGCAATAAGAATGTGTCGGGAGGGAACCAGGAAAAACATATAAAGGTATCCTCTCTAACACCTTGCAAGCTCTTCATTCTATTTTTTACCACAAATGAATAGCAACTCAAGTCACAAGTACAGAGGGAATGTCATTTTGAATTTATTTCATTCTCTCTCCCTGGTGTGTATTATACCAGTGTTTGTACATTTGTACTACACTTGTGTTACAGTTGTTCAGAAATTCAATGTAAAGTAGGACGAAATTGATGGCCATAACACATCACAAAAAAAAACAATTGAAATGAGTAGAATTGTGTAGACAGGAAATGGGTGAGGTAAGCCATCCTTGTCTATGGAAGAGTCGTCATTACGTGGAAAACATAGCAGCGTATGCGGCAATCCCCATCTATCTCCAAGACCTCCTCTGTGCATTCAAATAGACAATACATGTCAAGCAGTTCCCTCCTCACCCAGGCCCCACAAGTGAGATTCATTATCCAGCCCATAAGGGTAATGGCAGTCCATCTCTTAAGAGGAAGGCAAGGCTATCTATCCCTGGGACGTGATCGATAGTGAGACGGCATGATCAGTGAGAGGGGAAAGGTGTCTCTCTACACTGTCTATCGGTCTGCTCTCTATATGGTAGAGACCCACACTAAAGCTTTATATTTACCAGTGGAGGCTGCTGTGGGAAGGACGGCTCATAATAACGGCTGGAACGGAGCGAATGGAACGGCATCTAACCATGTGTTTGATGTATTTGATACCATTCCACCTATTCCGCTCCAGCCATTACCACGAGCCCATCCTCCCCAATTAAGGTGCCACCAACCTCCTGTGATATTCACATACCCCTCTCTAAAATACCAGACAGGCTGTTCAACCAAGTCTAATCTATCTGCAGCGACACAAATTACACAGTAAAAAATGATTGTGTCTGGTTTGCAAAGTTTAAGCTTTATTTGTGTAGGTTCAGTCCAGATCGCAGAGGCTTGCATAGATTGGCAAACTATCAGTCAATACCGAGGTTGCACAGACGCTGTCAAAGCTGGAAACACAGAGACTAATGAGAATCAATGGAGTTCAGAGGCAGTCAGAAGCTGCCTCACCCACTGTGGTTGTTGCATCTGACATTTCATTCGATTACCATTTCCCTTTAAAAAATCTATTTGAAGCATACCGAACAAGAAATCGGAATGCTAAAGACACAGAGGCCACAGAAACACACTCACAGACACACAACACAAGTGCACACACTTACACAAACATGCATGCACAATTGCAAGCATGCAGGAGCACAAACACACAGACACACACATACATACACCCCTCCCCCATAACGTGCTAGGGATAGCCCGATCACTTACATGCAAATTGTAAAGTGGCTCTGCGGCTGAGGATAGTCCCCCATGTGTTGAAGGCAGTGCACTGGTATATCCCTGTGTCTTCATCCCTGTCCAGACTGTTAATGATCAGGTTGCCCCCAGACATGTGACGCCGGTAGTCACTCCCCAGATCAATGAGTGTTCCGTTTAGCGACCATCTGGAAAGACGTAAACACAATCAGCAGCCAGGCCTCTGGAGACACACGCTCACAAACATTTATCACATGGATCGATTTGATAAAGACGATTGAATCAAATGAAGATATCGGATAAAATAACGCTGTAGTTGCTGATATTTTGAGCATTAAACTTTTCATTGTGTATTGGGTTAGCTAGTTGCCTTGGCATTTGAAAGACTGTGTGGTCTATTTGTTTACATTGTACATAATTGTATTATGTAAAAAAATATCACATCTATTTCATATTACTGATCTAAAATACTTTGTATGTGAAGTTATAGGTTGAGCATAATAAATCCTATTTCTAACTTCTTTAAAAACATCAATCACCAGCTAAGTTAAATTCCCAGATAGCATGAGGTCAAAGAATGCACAACATACAAATGTTTTGGACTACTTACTGTTCTAATGATTTGTTGCAAAAAACAATTTACAAAATGGGGAAATTATTTTAGTTTTTCCAAAGTTAACAAAGCTGAGAGGCATGATAAGTATGGATTATTTTCCTCATCAGAATGCAAGAAATTATGCATGATTAGGATGAGACTTTGAGCCAGCTAGCTTGAGCAACGCAATTCAGGACTGTGAAATGACAATTCAATGATGAGGGAAAAAAACTTTCAGCAAACTAACGAGCAGAAAAAATTGTGCTTCACACAGCCTTAAAACCAGCCATAACTTTCCCCAGACTCCCGTCTGACAGACTACAAAAGATATAGCTGTCTTTCCTGTTGTTGCCTGCATTATTCATCTATCTCAGTGCGGCTTTCACTTAATCAAACTTATTTTGTCACCATTCCAGATACCAATTTTTTTTTTTTTTTTATGTTTGAAGTTATGTGATGAAACCTATGTTTCCTGGGCACACAAATACAAACATTTCAAACAAGGGAGTTTGATGCCATATTCAATCTCAACTGCCTTTAAAAGAGCATCTTGTTTATGCATGTTCCCAATGGCTCAGCTGATATGATCCATCATGTTATCGTATGTATACCAGTGTTTCCCCTAGGATTTTTTTCAGCAGAGGTGACACTGCGTGTACAGCCTAGCTGGAGGATCTGACATGTGTAATATAATAATGGAGAGCGGGAGAGAGGGGGTTGGGTGGCTATTCGCAGCCACCCCAGCATATCTGAACTTAATGGGAGAGGACGGTAGGCAGGCTGAGCAGATCAGACACCCCTGGAGCAGATGGCTGGGCTCTGCCTCGGCTGGGTGTGAAGGTGTCTACGCACGACACAGCCAGCCATACCATCTAGCAGCAGAGGCAGCAGCAACACCTCAAACAGCAAGCCTTCGCTCCATTTGAACAGTGGGACAAGCTGTCAGAGACACCCCGCACCTACCAACACTAAGTAGCCACCAGAAAAGGCCTGGTATGAAACCCCCCTGAGGATGAAGGCTAGGTGATAGAGCATCAAACTACCATCACATACACAGCACCCATTCCATGAGAGTAGGAATAAACAACGACGGTAGACCACAGTGCTGCTGCTAGTGTCATTTCACCCATAAGCAGATGTGGAGTTATTCAGCCTGAACCAATGTAACTGATATTCCACATTGTCCTCATAATAAATGATCACGCCACCAATTAAAGCCCATGCGGACATAACTATCCTTTACTATCGACTATGCAAACTATAATTATCCATGGGAGCATAGTCGTATTGTATTTGAGTCATCACCATCATCATCATCACCATCATCGTCATATGCAGTGATGTGTATCCATCTCTCTAACAGTCAGTAAAATGGTTCTTACCAGCTGTGAGGTAGTGAACAAAACCTCAAATATGGTGGCAAAAACATCAAATAAGACAGCTGGCGCCAATTATATTTTACTGTGAGAGTATATGATTGTTGCAAACTGCATGCTCTGACCTGTATAGCAGTCTGTGCCCTCAAACCTGTTGCCAGCACAGGACTAATGAGGAACTAAATGAGCAGTCCAACACCATGGAAATCTTTATGCATTCTAAACAGTAGTGGTCTCATCTCCTCTTCATTGCCCCCTCAGGTCTTAACTCATCCACAGATGAAGACTCCAACTGAAGTGCTTCACAAAAAAGGCAAAACAGCACTTTGAAAAAGCACAATTTATCTGGGGCCATAGCATTAGTGGAGTGAATAGAGGAAATTTAACACACCAGACAGTAGGGTTCCTAAAAAACAACAAAGACTAACGGCTTCCTTATTTGCTCTGGCTGTCCTAGCCTGTTCCAGCCTCCAGGCCATGGGCTGCTCATGGCATGGTGTGGATGAACTCTGAACGACCTTGAGGTTCACATCAATGTTGCATGAGGCCTCTTCATCAAATACAGGCAGGGAATGGTGCTGCGCTCAGCGCTGTCTCCAGCCACGCATCTCACCTGTTTTTACCTGAGGACACACACACACACACACACACACAGCTAATATTGTCCCTTAAAAACCACACTGCTGACCACCAGGAGACAGAGGGCCCTTGGTCTCAACCCAGAAGGTTGGCAGAGAATCAGATATTACTGAATATCATCATTGAACATGGTTGTACTTGAAATGGAATAATTAATATTTCAGTAGTCTGAGACTTTGTCAGGGCAGGAGATGCAAAGTTCTCTGCTCAGGCTCCATGCTGTGATAGCTTCCACACTAAATGAGAAACTCAAATTGCCTACATAAAGTAAGAGACGGTGACAACATCTCCAGATGTCACATTAGGGGACAGGGAACATCACAAATAAATGATTGTTGTCCATTGGCCACTATGCCCTTGGTTCTACAGTACATTACAATAAGTTCATAACACACTGCCCAATGTAGTGTTCATTATGGGTCACTGATAAGGACTAAAATCAATTGTGATAACCATATTGAGAACAACTACCCCTACTGTAACAGATCACGTACTAATATCTTTAACATGCGGTGTGGTATGGAGTGTGACGTGTGGAGTTGTGTGGCACTGGTTATGAAAGATAAAGAAAAAAGAGAGTAGTAAAGAGCATTGTTTCAGTGGTATGAGATGGTTACTTTGGCATGAATTGGAAAATGTGAAGGTCTTGAAAAAATGGAAAACTTGTGATTCCAGTATAATTTCACTAGAAACTGAGTGAGGTTAGTTGATGCCTTCCTGCAGAATTGTGGGAGATCAAAGCTTGTCCCTTTGCAGCTCTGAGGGACAGCTAGGGCAGCTCATTGGGGGCATGTGAGGTCCTGAGTTTTTCTGCGTTAGGGAAATGTATTGCTAAACATTTCTGTTTCACTTTTAATCATCAAGACAAAAGTCCTCTCCTTGCCGGAGGGGACACAAGTCAAGAACAGTCAGTGTCAAACATACACTCTGGTGCAACCCAAATAAAGCCACAAATGATCCCTTCACTTGCAGTGAGTCCAAGGACTAAACGATGCAGTGTCTTTAAAAGTATTCCCATAAACGTCAATCCCCTGCCATGGGAGTTTGTTTCAATAAAGTGATTCACTTCGATTCTATTCAGATCTGTGCTCTGTATTCTTTTGGTTTTAATACAAATACCTTACGTAAAATGGGTGCTTGAGGTCCTACTTTTTAATTGATCGACTTGGTTCTATCCATTTCACAATGAAAGCTTGGATTGTCTTTAATTTGTCTTAGATTGGACTTTACAAATAACATTAATTGTGTGAAATAGCTCATTAGACACACTTAACTCAAGAGTTATTAGCCTGCATGAAAACAATCATAATATTTGGAATTGCTTATGATGACTAATGTTTTATCCGTTCCAACACATCAAATATTAATCCAGGGAAAACATATCACTGTTACTTTACTAATGTAGGAAACTTTTGCGCAGCGCTTAAATATCTTAAGAGGCTTCTACTTACAGCATTTGAGGGTTATTCCAATGTGTGGCACAGATGACTACACCACATTTTATCACACATAATCATAACCCACGATCTATTCTTGTCCCTGTACACTTAAGTTAAAAAAAGAATAATCCTAATTGTTTAGTTTGATGGTGAGAACACGTCCACTCGACTTCTTTTTCAAGTAGTGCAAGTTGTGATGGTTCAGCTCATCCTTGGATTGCTCAGATTGCACAACACGTATAATGATACCCCCTGCTGCTGCTCTAAGACCCATGTTTTAAGCACATACACATTAGAGGAAATGTAAGCATTTAACAGAATGTCACTCACAAGGTTATTACCTCTCTCAACTGCTTGCTGTGCATTTACATGATGCTGACCAAGCTATGAAACACAATCTACCACCAAACCAACGCGGGCTGCCATTTTCAGGTAGCCTCACCACCGGGGAATAACCGGAGGGATATCAGAGAATCTAGAGTAGAATTAGTAACTGAAATCTCCCTACATTCCTAATGATTTCCTGCAGTGCAGCACATTATAAAACATTAGCTTCAATCCTAGAGCAACCTAAATCAAATCTGTAATAAAGATAACTAGACTCACATCTCTGAAGTATTTATAAGTTAATGGTTGGCTGACTTCCCGTCTAAATCTAAATCATAGCTCAAAGCCTACATTAGTTTACAGCTTTTTTTTTGTTTTGGAATGAGCATGCCATATAAATACGTTTCTCTGTCTGGTTAAATGTCTGCGCAGCCCTTTCCTGCAGTCAAATGACCTAGTGGCCTCATGGGTGTAATGTTATTAATATTTGTCATAATTTCATAATAAATAAACATATTATTATTTTTTCCGCAGAAAATCTGGTGTTTCTATGTCAAACAGTTTTGTTATATTTCAGTCTTCTGTGATGTATATAACGTGTAATATTGGGAAGCAAACTCAAAATGTAATACATTTCAACTCTATATCTGACATGGTACAGGTGTCTTCTTTTTTTAGGCCCATAACCATGTGTGTGAGGTGTAAACTTTTGTTTCAAAGTAGATTTGTTAAAGACTACCAAGAAACGCTATATATGACCCTGATTTAGCCAACTGCAGTAAAAGGTTAATCTTGTTTCTTGGATGTTACAGTATCTCTACTGCTATTATGGTCAGCCCAATGTTTATCTCTCTCCGCCAAATCAATACCAATCAATGCTGTTAGTATCCTGATTTGATTGCCTTGAGAGAGACTGAAGATTTTGTTAAACGTCCATGTTAAATGGCAGCTAATGGCAGTTCCACACTGAATTGTGGAATTATAGTGTAGATTGATGGAATCCTTTACCTGTACTGTGGGGAGGGGTTCCCCTCTGCCTCACATCTAATGGTAGTTTCCTGGTAAGGGGAGTTGATGGGTAGAATGAGGTCACTGGGCTCCGTCCTCCATCTTGGCCCTTGGAACAGGAAATCTTGTGCATGAGCTGGAGAACATAAGCAACACAGGCTGTAATACTCAGGCCTTTAACAATTGGCATTCGTCAATGTGTGACATTTCAGTAATCTAACAAGGATGTAACAAATGAGTCTGAACAAACAGGTAGAGGGGGAAAACTTGTGAATCTTGACATGCCAGCACTCGCCAACAGAGGTGACAAAAACTGGTGACAGTTATGACATTTAAAAAATCATGTCTATAATTGCAACATGGTAACTACGATTGAGACAGGGCCATTAAAATATTTGATTTGGAATAGACATAAGGAAACCATTATTTGATTAAATAGTGTGCTACTAACCCAAATAATTATAATAGCTTATCCATGAAAAACCTCAATGTTGGCATAACTATTCAATGTTGGCACAAATCTGAGCACTGCAAAAAGCATGGTGACGTTGAAACGTTAGTCACATGAATGCACCTGTGTGAATCCATCTGGTAGCAGGGCAATTTATGATAACCATCTGGTAGCAGGGCAATTTATGATAACCAACTACCCAGCAAACCAGGAACATTCCCAGGACATTAGCTAAGATATGCCCATTAAGTTCTAATTAGGGTTTGAGCTAAAATTAGGATGATAACGTCCCAAAAATATTCAAACAATGTTTTTGATCACCAAATATTTTTTCCCAAAAAATGTTTGAAATGAAATATCATTGGAATGTTCTGCTAACATTCACTAAAATATTGTTCAAAACATCTGTAAAAACTACCACAGAACATTCCCCTAAGGTTAATGTAATAACACAATGTTCCAGTAATGTTCTTAGAACATACTGCCGCAACAAAATGTGGGAGCAATTGACCCTTCGCTATGTCCCGCCCCCCTTGGTTACTGTTGCAACCTTGGACAAAACATTTTCAGGAAGCCCAATTCCCCATTCAACCATTGGCGAAATCCCCTCACAATGATCTTAAACTGTGTTTCTTTCTTATGAGACCCTAGAAACTGTTTTTGAACAAACAATGAAATTAAACACTTGGGTATGTTGTGGTGGACTGTCATTACAATTGCTTAATGTGAACCTGGTAAAATGATGTTTGTAGTGTAGCTAGCCACTGAATGGCTCTGAGCTCACTGTCAGCATGCAGTCAAAGCTATAACCACTTTTGGACCTAACTATTGCACTCAAATCGTATCCTGATGTCGACAGCAGATGGGAGTTTCATAACATTCTTAACTTTGCTAGCTAACATACATTTTGAGAAAACAAGCTATATTAAGTGGCTAGCTAGTTAGCTTGCGTTAGCAACATTTGGTGGTCAGAGACTGAGAGCTAGCTAACCAGCTGAGCTGGCAAACAATGTAACAAAAGTATAATTTCGGAATAAAAAAAATACTCCATCAACAGGCTATGCATCTCAGGAATCACAGTAGCAATTACACCTGGTGCATTGTTCAACTATTCAGCCATTTAAACATAACTTTTTTAAAGAAAACTCTCAGTTTTTGCCATAGCCTTCATTGGCCTTCATGCGATTTAAACGTGAGCTTGTCAGAGGTGTCGGACTCGACAACAGTTGCTAAAACATTACAGGAACGTTCTGCTAATGTTCATGGCGACATCATCCAAAGCATTCAAAACAACATGCAGGGAACATGTCCGCATAACTCTCATATAGTTATAGTGTGATGTTATTTACATTTACATTTTAGTCATTTAGCAGACGCTCTTATCCAGAGCGACATACAGCTAATGAGTGCATACATTTTTCATACTGGCCATTTTAGGGGCCATTACGGCCACACAAGGGGGATACCATCGAGAAATTCAAGGCCCGGTGAGAATATTATCAAGTGCTTGTCAAATTGTGAATTAGAGACTGATGAAGTGTGTGCAGCCTGAGCAAGAAACAAAGCAGAGCTCATGCCTTTCATGCAACTTTTTTCAAATCATCATTAGAGTCACATCATGCAGCCTTAGAATTTATTAAAAATCTAACTTATAGCCCAATGTTTGTATCACAACAAAGGTTGCCAAAATAACTAAATTAAGCATATAGGAGGACCTGTTTCTTTGTTAACCGCTCAACACAGAATAGCCTCATGTGTGCACTCACTCAGAAATCGTTTGGAGAAAATATCCTTTCTATTTTATTCAGCTATGTTCAATGATTGTTCCAATAACGTTCCCTGAACATACTTGAGCAATAAAATGTTGGAGCAATAGAAGTTGTTTTGAGAACAATTCTTAGAATATTCAGCTAATGTTGATGGAGATATCAATACACTAATACCTACACTACATGACCAAAAGATGCTCGTCGACCATCTCATTCCAAAATCATGGGCATTAATATGGAGTTGGTCCACCCTTTGCTGCTATAACAGTCTCCACTCTTCTGGCCACTCTTCTGGAAAGGCTTTCCACTAGATGTTAGAACATTGCTGCGGTGACTTGCTTCCATTCAGCCACAAGAGCAGTAGTGAGGTCGGGCACTGATGCTGGGCGATTAGGCTTGGCTCTCAGTCGGCGTTCCAATTCATCCCAAAGGTGTTCGATGGGGTTGAGGTCAGGGCCCTGTTGCAGGCCAGTCAAGTTCTTCTACACCGATCTCGATAAACCATTTCTGAATGGACCTCTCTTTGGGCACGGGGGCATTGTCATGTTGAAACAGGAAAGTTGGAAGCACAGAATCGTCTATATTGTTATTGTATGCTGTAGCGTTAAGATTTCCCTTCACTGGAACTAAGGGGCCTAGCCCGAACGATGAAAAACTGCCCCAGACCATTATTCTTCCTCCACCAAACTTTACAGTTGGCACTATGCATTCGGACAGGTAGAGTTCTCCTGGCATCCACCAAACCTAGATTCGTCCGTTGGACTGCCAGATGGTGAAGCGTGAATCATCACTCCAGAGAACACATTTCCAATGCCCCAGAGTCCAATTGCGGCGAGCTTTACACCACTCCAGCCAACGCTTGGCATTTCGCATGGTGATCTTAGGTTTGTGTGCGGCTGCTCGGCCATGGAAACCCATTTCATGAAGCTCCCGACTAACAGTTATTTTGCTGACGTTGCTTCCAGAGGGAGTTTGGAACTCGGTAGTGAGTGTTGCAACCAAGGACAGACAATTTTTACGCGCTACACGCTTCAGCACTCGCCGGTCCCATTCTGTGAGCTTGTGTAGCCTACAACTTCACGGCTGAGCTGTTGTTGCTCCTAGACATTTCCACTTCACAATAAAAGCACTTACAGTTGACCGGGGCATTACTAGCAGGGCTGAAATTTGACGAACTGACTTGTTGGAAAGGTGGCATCCTACATTGAAAGTCACTGAGGTCTTCAGTAAGGACATTCTACTGCCAATGTTTGTCTATGAAGATTGCATGTCTGTGTGCTCGATTTTATACACCTGTCAGCAACGGGTGTGGCTGGAATAGCCGAATCCACTAATTTCAAGGGGTGTCCACATACTTTTGTATAGATAGTGCATAATAACAAACAACAAACATATAAAGTTATAAAGTTATTTTGTAATGTTATGACATGATGTTCCAATAATGTTCTAAAAACATACTTTAACAATAATGGAAGTAGTTCTGAAAACATTGCTGCAATGTTCCGCTAATATTAATGTGCAGTATTATACAAAGATGCCAAACTTTTAAACAAATGTCAATCATGATATTTTATTATGGTATTGTTCAAACATAGTTATAGCTTTTTTAAAGAAAGGTCATCAAGTAAATCTGAACCTGTGATCTGCCAAAGGATTCCCTTTGCACTTAAGTCCTTAAACTATGATTCAAACTATGGCTTCATGTCTTTGTACATACTGTATGCAAATCTATGTACGTACACCTCACCACAATCTGTCAGGCAATAATTTTACATGACTTCTGAAATCAGGTTCATAGTGAAAATAAAGGTAAAAACATCCCAATTTTACAGTATATAAAAAGGATTGGTAGATTAAGAAATAATAGAGGAAATGTATTTTTCTAGATTTAGTTATCCTCTCTTTTGTATATTAGTGTTAGTCCCATCCCAGTGGCACAGTGGATTAATTCCAGGGATAACACTCCAAAGCTCCCAGGTTTGATCCCTACTTGCAACTAACAACAAAATAAGTAAATCAATGTCTAATCAACTGTCATTTGATTGCAAAAAACTGCAACATGCATTTCTACATAAAATATTGTACAAACAAATTCCTCAACAGTAACATAGCACTAACACATACACTAAACCTCCACGGACTGTTCAAAACTGTTTTGAATACTTATGTGTTGATTGTTGAGCCCCTTAAAGCCTACACATTCTGTATACTATATGTAAATTCAAAGTCCGCTTTGCTGTGGTTGTCTTTCAGTGGAGAGAGAGAGAGAGAGAGAGAGAGAGAGAGAGAGAGAGAGAGAGAGAGAGAGAGAGAGAGAGAGAGAGAGAGAGAGAGAGAGAGAGCATGCATTTCTGTCCCAATCCCAGGTGACCACAAGGGCATAACGAGCCAGTGTGGCAAGAGGTTTGTGCTAAAATGCAGGCGCAGTTTTATCCCAAGGATCCTGATAATGATCTCTGACATGTCAAACACAGGAATAGGAATGGAATTGCAGATGTCCCTGGAGGCGCAAATGCAGTAGGCTGCTCGAGGGATGGCTGAAGGGCAACAGGGGAAGTAGCCTACCGTATATGAAAAACTCAATTTTAATCAATTTAACCTTGTCACTATGAAATATAATATGGTTGGTTGCAAATACTGTGTAGGTGTCTCTATCAGTTTCTTATCAACAGCAAAAGAGAAGATTAGATCTAGGCTAATGCAATGTAATGCAATACAGATTCTGTAGAATTGTGTAGTCAGTGCACAGTATGGTTCATTTCAGTTCATAGCGTCAAGCACAATCTAGAGAATGCCCAAAGCACTTTAAAATTATGTAGGCGACCCTGTAAGCATGAGATCTCCTACATTTCCATATGAGACCAAAGAGACAACATAGGGCACACACATCAGTGTCATACTGTCGACTTCAAACTAGTGCTCTATTGAGAGGTATTGCAGTACCGTTGCCAAAAAGGTATACCACCCAGCAAACCGGGAACATTCCCAGAACATTAGCTAAGATTCCCATTAAGTTCTAGTTAGGGTTTTATCTAACATTAGGATGATAACATCCCAAAAACATCCAGATAATGTTTTTCATAACTAAATCTTTCAATTAATATATTTATTTATTTATTAAATATCCTTGGAATGTTCTCCTAACATTCAGTGAAATGTTTTGCAGATCATCTGCAACAACCACCACAGAACATTCCCCAAAAGTTCTCATTAGGTTTCCAGGTAATGTAATAACACAATGTACCAGTAACGTTTTCCCAGCAAACCAAAAATGGTTCTGTGAAAGTTCCCGGAACATTCGTTAGGTCACGTCAAATGTTCTCATAACATGTATAAAACATTTGTCTGATGTTGCAAGAACGTTCCTATAACACATTTAATCTGTTCTTTAAAGGTTCCCAGAATGTTTCATTAGGTTGTGGTGAGCAGTTTGGTGAGATCGCTGTGGGGACATCACAAAATATATGCTCCCATAAAACAAAAAACTGTCCATGATTCTATAACGTTTCTTTTAGAGTGCATAAAACATTCACCTGATGTTACAAGAACATTTTAATAACTCAAATTGTGTTCTGTGTCCTTATTGGCCATATTTGACAGGCCACAGTTATCACCTGGTGGTGCAGTGGGTTAATGATTTGGCTGCAGATCTGAAGATTGCAGGTTCAATCCAAGATATTCTTTAACCATGTTTCTTTTGAAAGAAAATGTGAAATTGAGGCTCAGATATAGTCTACTAAAAGAGAGGATGTCTTTATTTCGTCCAGATTTATAAATCCAGTGAGAAATGCAGAATTTAGTAGAAATTGACTGTTCAACTTTTTTTAAACGCACCCGATATAATTCCTACTTTGAAATGCTTGATATGGTTCCCCCTGGCTTATTTCTCATGATCTGACAAGCAAAAGTGATCCTAGATCAGCACTCATAGTCTAAATATGGGCCCAGGGGTACGCAGCATATAAAGAGCATGGGTGAATTGATGGTGAATAACCCAGTTACCAGTATTTCCCTGGGTTAGTTATGTCTAAGAAGGCTAAAAAGACAGCATGGAACTCCTGTGTGACCATACTGCCATGGCTATATATTGTCAACATATGAAGTGTAAAAAATATGGTTGTGATTAAATGCTGTTCAAATGTCCTATGAATGAAATTAAAATGCCATGTGTCTCTATCATCTACAATTTGGTCTTCAAAAGCGAATTACCATTACATCTGTAGAGAAACATAATTGGGATGTATTCCAATCTGCTTTCTTATGCTTTAATTTGCATGCTGAGAATGTTGTGGTAATATCAGGTAAAACTTAAATATAACATTTTCGAAGTGTTCTTGTAATGTTCTGAGGACCTCCAAGACAAGGTCAAATGTATATTGCGTGAACATCAATGGAATATTATGTTAAACCTAAAACAAATATGTTATGAACGTCATAAAAACTGACTTATTAAATTCTTACAAAATTAAGGGAATGTCCTGTACAACCTAACTTAAACATTGTATGAATGTCATCACAACTGAGCATATTTTGTGTTTTGGAAACCTATCTCTTGTAATGTACCCACACTTTCCATACACAACCTAATTACATGTTCTGGGAACCTTTAAAGAACTCAGGAAGGCTGTTCTGTCAACATTCTTGCAACATCAAAGTAATGTTTTCTGCACCCCGAAATAACATTATGTGAATGTCAGCACAACCCGACAGTTTTTGTGTTTTGGGAAAAAATCTCTTGTCATGTCCCCACAATGTTACCACATTCTTGTACTATCAGGTAAATGTTTTGCACCCTAAAATAATTAAGTGATAATGCCCGAGAAGCCGGTGTTTGGACGATATATTGGCACGGGTGTTGTTAGACCCGCGATGAAGTGGAGGGCCGGTAACCATGTCAATATATTCTAAACTCCGGCTTCGAGGGCATGATCACTTTTATACAATGGGTTACCAACATATTCAAATAATGATTGACATATTTTCATTAAAAACGTTAAGTCCCGACACAAGTCTAGGGTTGCTACCCAAGCAGGCTGGTCGTTCATTCTATTGGTTCGGTTGCCAGAGACGCGACCCACTCTTTCAGTCTTTTTGTTCTGTATCTATGGACACGACCCAGTCGTTCGTTCTAAATGTTCCATTGCCATATTGGCTGGCAACGTTCTTATCCCTTGCTTGCTTGCTACCTAGCCAACTACGGCTAACTTACAGTCACGTCAAACAGTGCAGCCAGAATAACAACAGTAGTGGCATTTGCATTTGTTTAAGCTGTTTTCTAGTGACATTTATTTGGACACATCCATAACAATGAGCAAATGAGGCGCGATTTCGCCTGGCATAGAAAATGTGCTCTCGTCAGGACACTGTTGTTCAGAGGAGCTAGCCAACAACACATCTAACACAATCTTTTCAAACTGAAGCTGGAAATACTGCAAACTAGCTGCACTTCGTTTCGTTTGACCTTTTTTCAATTGACATTTCTTTGTATATATCCATAAAAATGATTCCAGCTGATTCATGACTTCGACTGGCTGAGAAACGCTGCCTGCCTGTCTGTCTCGTCCCGACTCCCGACACGTTCATTACAATGGGACAGCAGGAGATCAAATTTGAATATTGAAACAATGTTGCAAATGTCGGAGAGACAGACTGCAAGGTTTATAAAAATCTCCGCTGTTGAAAACTAAATGTTAGTCTAAAAGAAATGTGAGATAATGTCTAGATGCTTTTTATAGTGGAGATCAAGTTTATAAAGTGCCTGGCTGGGCTGATGAGACAGTGGATTGCACAGTCAAATGGAACAGAGTAAATAGGCATTTTAACATCATAGATTTACCTGGTGGTAACTTGTGGAATAGACACCGGCTGGAATGCGGTTTTAACCAATCAGCATTCAGGATTAGACCCACCTGTTAAACATTGTATAATCACCCACGCAACTGGACAGTTTTTGTGTTTTGGGAACAGATCTTTTGTGATGTCCCCACAATGTTCCCACCAGACAGTTCCCACAACCTAATGAAACATTCTGGGAACCTTTAAAGAACAGACAAAATGTTTTCTGGGAACATTCTTGTAACATCAGTTGAACGTTTTTGCACCCTAAAAAAAAACATTGAACAATCCTCCATGCAATTAGACAGTTTTTGTGTTTTGGGAACATATATTTTGTGATGTCCCTACATTGTTCTCAACAGACTTTACCCCCAAACTAATTAAACATTCTGGGAAACTTTAAAGAACAGATTAAATCTGTTTTAGTAACGTTCTTGCAACATCAGCTGAATGTTTTATAGGTCCAAAAGGCTCCTTAACAGCTTCTACCCCCAAGCCAAACAATTAATCAAATTAATCAAATGGCCACCCGGACTATTGACAAATATTTTCTTAACTCTATTTCTTGAACTGCATTGTTGATTAAGGCCTTGTAAGTAAGCATTTCACGGTGCATGTGACAAATACAATGTAATTTGATTTGATTTGTATACAAACATTCTACAATCATCACCACAACTGGACAGTTTTTGTGTTATGAGAACATTTGCAGCGACCTACCCTAACGAATGTTATGGGAACTTTCACAGAACCAATTTTGGTTTGCTGGGCAGTTTCTTGTTTGTAACAAAGAGAGCAATTAGGCCTACTAACATTGTGCAAGTAACAATGTTAACGTAAACATAAATCATCCTTAGAATTAAAAATCATATAGGAGCTTGTAGAATTATAATAGTAAATACCTCTTCCAGAATAAAATGTGTAGTAAAACGTCTTACCTGCAAGGCAACCAATGATTGATAGCAGCACAAGTTGTTTCCATAGTAACATCATCTTCAGTTGCCAAGGGCAAATAAGACTCTCATCCAATTGCTTGTGAATGGAATGTTCTCCCTTGAATATGAGAATCTTTGATCTGAGGGGAAGGTAATTAAACAAATAAGTAAAATAAGACATTTTGAGCCAAATATTACAAGCATTCAACATCAGTATGATGATTACAGTATTGCAAAGTTGCACTATTCATGTTCTTTCACAGTTTTTAGAAGACTTGAAAAAAACAACAAAAAACTGTGAAAGCATTCACCAGACAACACATGCATATGATTTAAGCCATTATGGTTGATTAATTATTTTATTAATTACACTGTATGCCTTTTGATGACTGCATTATGACTAAATGTAATGGAAAATACAGCTGTTGACACATTGGGGGTAAGTAAGGACATATACAGTGCATATAAAAAATGTAATATACACCCAAAACATTTCAATACCAGGTATAGATGCAAAGCCAGTGATCACAATTCCATCGTCTGTGACAATGTCAAATGTTCACCATTAAAGCCTGGTCCAGACAAACTCTTACATTTACATTTTAGTCATACAGAGCGACTTACAGTTAGTGAGTGCATACATTTTCATACTGCCCCCCCCCCCCCCCGAACCCACGGGGGGGAAGATACCAAATATCAAACATTGAAGAAGTTTGAATATGATTCAGCTGCAATGAATCGCAGGTTCACAACAGCACCTATTCTGTGGAACTACAGTATATTTTGGACAATGTTATGGAATAGTGACACAGAGAACTGCTAAGTGAGCTTGTTTTTACATTACCAAAGCATCATAGTGCATTTCTTGTCAACCTGAGCAACAAGCACAAATCTGCTACATCGGAGGAAAGAGGGGGTGGAAATAATTGACCTCAAAAGCTACTTTCCCCAGCCTATTAATAGGAACAGGCAGACAACCTAAATACATTTAGCGGTATACTAATATACAGTTGAAGTTGGAAGTTTACATACACCTTAGCCAAATACATTTAAACTCAGTTTTTCACAATTCCTGACATTTAATCCTACTAAAAATGCCCTGTTTTAGGTCAGATAGGATCACCACTTTATTTTAAGAATGTGAAATGTCAGAATAATAATGGAGAGATTTATTTATTTCAGCTTTTATTTCTTTCATCACATTCCCAGTGGGTCAGAAGTTTACATACACTCAATTATTATTTGGTAGCATTGCCTTTAAATTGTTTAACTTGGGTCAAACGTTTCGGTAGCCTTCCACAAGCTTCCCACAATAAGTTGGGTGAATTTTGGTCCATTCCTCCTGACAGAGCTGGTGTAACTGAGTGAGGTTTGTAGGCCTCCTTGCTCACGCACACTTTTTCAGTTCTGCCCACAAATATTCTATAGGATTGAGGTCAGGGCTTTGTGATGGCCACTCCAATACCTTTACTTTGTTGTCCTTAAGCCATTTTGCCACAACTTTGGAAGTATGCTTGGGGTCATTGTCCATTTGGAAGACCCATTTGAAACCAAGCTTTAACTTCATGACTGATGTCTTGAGATGTTGCTTCAATATATCCACATACTTTTCCTTCCTCATGATGCTATCTATTTTGTGAAGTGCACCAGTCCCTCCTGCAGCAAAGCACCCCCACAGCATGATGCTGCCACCCCTGTGCTTCACGGTTGGGATGGTGTTCTTCGGCTTGCAAGCCACCCCCTTTTCCCTCCAAACATAACGATGGTCATTATGGCCAAACGTTTCTATTTTTGTTTCATCAGACCAGAGGACATTTCTCAAAAAAGTATGATATTTGTCCCCATGTGCAGTTGCATACCGTAGTCTGGCTTTTTTATGGCGGTTTTGGAGCAGTGGCTTCTTCCTTGCTGAGTGGCCTTTCAGGTTAAGTCGATATAGGACTCGTTTTACTGGGGATATAGATACTTTTGTACCTGTTTCCTCCAGCATCTTCACAAGGTCCTTTGCTGTTGTTCTGGGATTGATTTGCACTTTTCGCACCAAAGTACGTTAATCTCTAGGAGACAGAACGTGTCTCCTTCCTGAGTGGTATGACGGCTGCTTGGTCCCATGGTGTTTATACTTGCGTACTATTGTTTGTACAGATGAACGTGGTACCTTCAGGCGTTTGGAAATTGCGCCCAAGGATGAACCAGACTTGTGGAGGTCTACACATTTTTTTCTGAGGTGTTGGCTGATTTCTTTAGATTTTGCCATGATGTCAAGCAAAGAGGCACTGAGTTTGAAGGTAGGCCTTGAAATACATTCACAGGTACACCTTCAATTGACTCAAACTATGTCAATTAGCCTATCAGAAGCTTCTAAAGCCATGACATCATTTTCTGGAATTTTCCAAGCTGTTTAAAGGCACAGTCAACTTAAAGTATGTAAACTTCTGTCCCACTGGAATTGTGATACAGTGAATTATAAGTTAAATAATCTGTCACAAACAATTGTTGGAAAAATTACTTGTGTCATGCACAAAGTAGATGTCCTAACCGACTATAGATTGTTAACAATAAATTTGTGGAGTGGTTGAAGAACGAGTTTTAATGACTCCAACCTAAGTGTATGTAAACTTCTGACTTCAACTGTATAGCCTACTATGCAGCACAATGCCCATACAACATACAACGAGAAAAGCTTAAAGTGCCTTCAGAAAGTATTCATGCCCCTTGACTGGGTAAGTCTCTAAGAGCTTTCCACACCTGGATTGTGCAATATTTTCCCATTATTATTTTCAAAATTCTTCGAGCTCTGTCAAATTGGTTGTTGATCATTGCTATACAACAATTTTTAGGTCTTGCTGTAGAATATAATGTAGATTTAAGTCAAAATTGTAACTCGGCCACTCAGGAATATTCACTGTCTTCTTGGTAAGCGACTCCAGTGTAGATATGGCCTTCTGTTTTAGGTTATTGTCCTGCTGAAAGGTGGAATTGTCTCCCAGTGTCTGGTGGAAAGCAGACTGAACCAGGTTTTCCTCTAGGATTTTGCCTGTGCTTAGCTCCATTCTGTTGATTTTTTATCCTAAAGAAACTCCCCAGTCCTTAACGATTACAAGCATACCCATAACATGATGCAGCCACCACTATGCTTGAAAATATGGAGAGTGGAACTCAGTAATGTTGTTGTATTGGATTTGTCCCAAACATAACACTTTGTACTCTGGACAAAAAGTTAATTGCTTTGCCAAATTCTTTGCAGTATTACTTTAGTGCCTTGTTGCAAACAGGATGCATGTTTTGGAGAATTTGTATTCTGTACAGGCTTCTTTCTTTTCCCTCTGCCAATTAGGTTAGTATTGTGGAGTAACTACAATGTTGTTGATCCATCCTCCAGGCTCTGTCGCAGCGGCCAGCGGCACAGCTATCACTGCCCCAACACATACATTCTAAGTGATTTCAATGGGTCTTTCTCCATTCTGATTGTTTTATACCATTCAATTCAACTTTAACAAAAAGAAAAAGCTTTTTAATCAATTTCTGCATTTCCTGTACTCATTTGAGATCATTTCCACACTGCCACATAGGGATATATGATATGGGCAAACAATCTAGGCCTTATTCTTTACCAAATGTTGCAATTGTGATTTGACTTGCGATTTAGAGCAAAACACTTGGGTGAACTGTTGGAATCATGCAAATAGAATGATTATTCTAATTCTATAGTAATAATATAATAGTGGGCACTTTGAATACAGTGTTGTTTGACATGACAACGAATCAAAATGCCAGGGAAGAGTTATTGTGACAGGGAAGGAACCAAAGTGTTTCATAGGGGACTCTATAATCTTTGGCTACATTGAATGTTTTCTCTTAGCTACTTCATGTAGCTAACATATTTTCATTTATCTGTTATTTTACCAGGTAAGTTCACATGCTCATTTACAGCAACAACCTGGGGAATAGTTACAGGGGAAAGGATGAGCCAATTGGAAGCTGGGGATGATTAGCTGGCATGAGGGCCAGATTGAGAACTGGGGTTAACACCCCTACTCTTACAATAAGTGCCATGGGATCTGCAGTGACCACAGAGAGTCAGGTCACCCATTTAACATCCCATCTGAAAGACAGCACCCTATGCAGGGCAATGACCCCAATCACTGCCCTGGGATATTTCTTTAGACCAGAGGAAAGAGTGCCTTCTACTGGCCCTCCAACACCACTTCCAGCAGCATCAGGTCACCCATCCAGGGACCAACCAGGACCAACCCTGCTTAGCTTCAGAGGCAAGCCAGCAGTGGGATGCAGGGTGGTATGCTGCTGGCAGAAAAACAACACATTCATGCTTCACGTATTCCTCTTTGATTTAGAAGATACTGTTGCACAAACAACATGCTGATTTAGGTCTACACCATCACCATCAGGCTGTATAGCTAGTTGCATTTGCTCTGACTCAGTACATTTATTAGCTAGCTAGCCAGCTAACTAGAGATTAGCATTAACACGATTTTGGCCCAACTTGCTAAGAAAAGACAAACTAGCCGTTTGTAGATGTAAGAAACACAAACTAATAGTGTAATTATAGAACACTAGTGGATTAATATTAAGAAGCAAAGTGAAAACAGCATTGTTGCATGTGCTGCATTGACCATATAGACTGAACGCAAGTGTCTCGTGGTCAAGGAACAACAAATGCGCTCCTTGAGTGACAGGGGGCGGGGCTAGGTCTGTGTGTGGAACACACGGTGTATCACATTTAACAAACCAAACATTCAAATACCATTATAGAAGGTAAAGTAAAAACCAAAACCGGTCCGTGCATCAATACCTGTATATCGTAAAATACGGTATACCGCCCAGCCCTAGGTACAGAGATGAAGTAGCCATTCAAAAATCATGTTAAACACTATTATTGTACACAGAGTGAGTCCATGCAACTTATTATAACTTGTTAAGCACATTTTTACTCCTGAACCTATTTAGGCTTGCCATAACAAAAGGGTTGAATACTTATTGACTCAAGACATTTCAGCTTTTTATTTATAATTAATTTGTAAACATTCTGATAAACATAATTCCACTTTGACATTACGGGGTATTGTGTGTAGGCCAGTGACTAAAATTGTTTTATTTAATCAATTTTAAATTCAGGCTG